AAGGGGGGGAAAGGGGGGAAGGGGAATTTCTCTCTCAGGCTTGGCAGGGAAGGCCGTTTCTCGTTAAAATGCTGGGGCATGCCGGGCAGCCTGCTCCGATTACTTGTCGATCGTCGGGGCTTTTGCGGTTCCGGCTCGTTTCGACGCCGTTTTTTTTTTCGGCCTCGCAAAAATAAACTCCTCGTGAAACAGCTTCGTAGCGATGGAAAAGTTCCCCCTTTGCAGGCTCGACCATCGCCTCGCTTCCCCGGAAAAGAAAATTCCTCGGAAGATTTGAATCGATAGGAGCAACGACGCCGCATCGGCAAACGTCAAAGCATCATACCGGAACTGTCGCTTTCATTTCCTCCACGATCTTCACTGAGTTCACACTTTTTAGATACGATTTTTTTTAAATTGAATGATAAATTTAATTTATTATAAATGACTATTTTCCATTTTTACTGACAAAAAAAATTGAGTCGGACAGTCTGTTTATCGATTCGATTTTCAAGCATCTGTACACCACGTATGCGGCATGTGGCGATCCCTCGCGTGCTCTTGTGGCACGCAAATGCTCCCCGACCATCATCAGATGAGACCGAGGAAGCCCAGACACTCACGCAAGGACACGACACCAAGCCAGAAGCTTTCATCTCGTGTTGCCCTCAAAATCGAGCCATTCGTGCAAGTGGATTCGGTCGACTCGGAGGAAGACGATTACGACTAAGGGCGACATGCACCGGATCCGTTTAAGCTAAACTAATCTGATCCCATAATGGTCCCCTATGGGAATCAGTTTAACAGGGATAAACTAATCCCCATAGACGCCCATTATGAAAACGAATCTGGTACATGTCACCCTAAGTCGGACTTGGAAGCAAACGAGGATTCAACGCCGACCGGAAGAAAGAACGAGAGGCGGAAAGTCGACAGTATGACAGCACTGGGCAGCATGCAGTGGCGTATTTTGGCCGATGAGTCGAGGGGGGGGGGGGGGGGCAAATGGGGGGGCCAAACCCCCCCTCCCCCCCCCCCCCCCCCCCCCCCCCCCCCAATTTCCTCCCGTCGAATTTTCCGGTCCGGTTCTCGTCCTGCCGAGTGGAACCGGAGCGGGAAGCGAAGGCCAAATGAGAGTCAACTTTTTTTTATTCATTCGGAAGTCGAAGAAGCTGAGGATCGCCTGTAGGCTCCGCGATGATATTAGCGGAACCGAAAATGAGGGAAAACCTCTGCGTTCGTTCACGAAAGGCTTCTTTTCGATCGTCGCTCGATTGAGACTATTATTTCAAGATCGTTTCGAACTCTTTTTTTAAAATTGGACTCGCGCGCGATAAAAAAAATCGAAATATCCGAAGTGACGCCGAGTAATGCCGTTTGTAATCGTTTGTAAAGCCGATTCGGGATCGGAATTTCTCGCATTCGCAGAACGAGAGAAAAGGCGAAATGCGTAATACGTCAAATCCGGTCCAAAAAATCGTCTCTCAAAACCCTATACGACTCCCGCAAGGCCAGCCACCACCGATGAATGCGACGACGCCGTTTTGCATTCCCGCGTTTGAACGCGCGTCGCATCGGGGCCAGATGCGCCTCGCGGATGCGGACCGGTTCAAACATACACTGTGAGCAGCAGGTTCGCCAACCGCATGCACGAATCATTTACTCATCGCGTGTGAGGCCAATTACGCGCACATGTGGTTACTCAGACGTGACTCACCTTGCATTCGAGTGGGAAAAAATAGAAAAGCGAGAAAGCCTCGCGAGTTTGGTGTCCGCGCCGCCAGAGGCGCTGGGGTCTCTGGTGAGTCGCACCGCGATTCGTTGCCATCTGTCGGCGATGTCTCACGGCGAGTATAAAAACCGGTCGTTCATCTCTTTTTTTTAATGGAGTTCTCCTTACCAAAGACGGAATGTGGATCGGAGACGTTCCGGATTGCGTCGCATCACGAAGGAGAAGTGAAGGACGCGCGACCGAGGCAAGGACGAGGCATGATGTGGCGAAGGGGCGAAGTCGTCTGCTTCTCGTGGGGGGCACGGAGGAGGTCGATCGTGATTGGTCGGGGCATTACGTTTGGAAAAGGTGAGAACTCGAGAGTCGTCGTCTCGTCTCGAACGAATCGGTTCGCAGGATCGCTGCTGCCGCTCGACGAGCAGGCCTTCGCCTTTTTGATTCGCTCGATTGGCGTCCCTGGAGCCAATTTTCTTCCATTTGGAGAACGCGGGGACCAGGGCGCCGCCGATAAGTCCTCGTGAAAGCCGTCAGAGGGCACAGAACTCGTTCCATTTAAGAAAAGGCATTATCGTTTTCACTCGTCAGTCGCAGCGACCGTCGAGTTGCGTCATTTCTCGCCTCAACTTGCCCCCCCCCCCCCCTCCGAAAAGAAACCTTCCCAGGCATCACAATGGGGGAATGAACCTCGCTGCCGAGATGAACACGGATCAGCTCCTTCCCCGTCCATTCTCTGCTGAAGTGTGAACTAAGATAACGAGATCTGCCTGTACGAGAAATGGCAGCTAGAGCGCACTGAATGTAAACGTGAGCGAAAGGGAAACGTTATTTCTCCTCCCCTCCCGTTTTCAATGGCCAGTTCCTCCAGGAGACAAAAATATTCGTCATCTTATAGGCCATTCGATCGGCGGCCAGGAAGCCAAAGAAGTTTCTCAATTATTGCAGGTAGTAGGAGAAGGTTTCCCACGATGTTTACTCGAACCGAGAGCTTCGATCAGACATCGACCGCGAAGCGACTTCGAAGAAAATTGAGAGCGAAAAAAAAAAATTAGGACGTGCCAGAGCCTTCCTTCGACGGGGGCGAACACCTGCTACACCCGTGTAAGCCGGAAAGGGGCATCGATCCACTGCCAGACGTGCTAAAAAAAGAGCTACGGAAAGCCGAGCGTGAGAGGTGCGGAAAGGTGCAGTGATGTAGCACGTGAGGTGCATGGAACACCTCCACATGCGATAACTGAGGTGAGAAGAAAGGGGAAAGAGGAAGGGGGTGGGGGGGGGCCAGCTCCCGCCTGTTCCCGTACGAAAATGTAACCGTTGAGTCAACGGTGAATCACCGGTGGAACTGGGTTCAACGATGAATCAATTGCGATTCAACGGCGACCACTGTCGAACTTCTGTCGAATGGACGTCGAAAACCGGCCATTCAACAACGAATCACCGTTAAACTATTTTTGTAAGCGTTCTGCCAGGACCCGTTCCATCGCCATCTCGTCCGTCCGCGCCCTCGTGCATCGCCTCCCTTCACTCGCGAGCGCGAACGAGGTAACGAAGCCTTTCGGGGCGACTGGCAGTAACGGGCGACTGGCAGTAACGAGCGGCTGCCGACGATGGATGGGACGGGAGATGCGTCGGGGATTCCGGCCTCGACGTCCGGGGAGGTCGACGGCGAGGAGGGGAATCGGAGAGCCTCGCGTGTCGAGGGTTCTTTTACTCGGATTTACATTTTAGTCTATAATTTGGCTCGCTTGCATTGATATATACGTTTATAATTTAAAAACGTTGGAAAGTGGTGGCAGCAAATGCCCATGTAGGCCATTCTCTGATCCTCGTCTGTGATATTCCATTTTGTGGGAGAAATCTCTCAGAACTGGAACGGCTGTGGCCTGCAGCAGTACGAGACCACTCGAAAATGAAAATGAGTAAATCGGGTCATTTGCAGCTTGGGTGACGAAACGCGACCGCACCCATGTTCCCCGCGCCGATCCTCCTAGGGCTTTCGTCGGTCCATCGTCAAATGTTATCAAGTCAGGAGGATTTTTAACGCTTTTTCTCATCGAAGAATAACGCGCCGTCAATGATTCGCCGCATGCAGGTAGGCATAGAGTCGCCTCGTGCGAAAGACCCCCAAAACAAAACCAAGTCGACGCCAAGCTTAAAGTCGGGTTTCGTCTAGAGAACATCGGAATCCATGCAACGATCGAGCCCAAGCAGCTTCGAAACGCCGGCGTTGCCGCCCATTTCAGGCGTTACACATTTCACGAGACGCAAGTGACGCGGAATCCTCATCAGAACCCGAGGTCGCGAGCATCCTGGAAACTACCGAAGCGCAAGCAGAGGAGCATGAGAGCAACGAGTTGCCCTCGTCGACTCATGGTTGCTTACGGCGAAGTTTGCTATGTCACGAGTTTTCGAGATTTTTCTTTTCGCGTCGGCAGAGATGAGAGCTAACTCCATTCCGATTCGTTAAATCTCCAATACTGATCCCATGATACGATTTCACGCAACACTTTCGAGTCTGAAACAAAACTTTCTTTCGTTGAATATTTCTCTCTCGGGGAAACGGACCGGCAGCCTCCCGCCTTCCCGGAGCCTGCCCTCAACGCGCATGCGCGGCCCTCGGCTACGGCAGCTGGGACTGGGTGGCCTCCCGGTTCCTTTCCAGCCTTAACCCTTTCCGGTCCATTTTATTCGTGACGTTATGGAGATTGTCGGACTATGTTCGCCAGGGGAGTCGCACAAGGCCGTGGGGGCAGGGTTGCTAGTCGGATTTAAGGACTGGATCAGGCAACCCTACACGTCGTGCTCTCTTCCCATCTTCCATCTTCTACAATGCGTTTCTTTGGCATGATTACAGGGCGGATTTCGAGGTAGGATCACACTTTCTTGCTTCCTCGTACATCCATCACGTATGCTGGATGGATTCCTGGCACCAGTAGGGAAAATTGAGTCCATGTTGTCAGATCACATTTCATTTATGAGGTCATCCCCCCCCCCAGAAAACTAAGGCCCCTCTGACCTCAAAGTGCGAAAACGTGGACGAAGTCTCATCACGAAGACACCTCGAGTAAACCTCTAAGATCGGACCAGTTGTCAGATTTCCGATTCAGCCAAGGTGAAACGGCACTCTAAGAACGGGATTTCCGAATTTTATTGCCCGTCTCCATCACAGCTTCACTCCTCTGGAGTGAAAACGACAAAATAATTATTGCACATTTCTCGAACGCCTACAAGCGCTGACATACCAAAAGAACCGAGGTAGCACACTTCGGCTCTGTGGCGGGCAGCTATCGGCGCGGGAGGGAACTCGGCGAAGGCGGAGTGGCAGCGCTCGTCGAGCGCCAACCAGAATTCGTCATTCATCTGCGTGTCGTCTTCTCGGAAGCCGAGTCGGCAGTGATAAGATGACTCGACGAGGTAGCAGTAGCGGGATTACCCAGGCAAGAGTGACAAATGGTCCAAGGCCGCCCGTTTAATAGCACGCGGCCCGCCAAAGTTGTACTGCTTAGAAACACTCGCTCTCGGGTAGGGCTTTTCGGAGCTTTCTACCTTTCCTCCAGCTTGCGCAATTCCATGCAGGAGCTCCTCACGCTGAACCATAATTTTACTAAGATGTTCGCTGTTTGCTTTACAAGGGCACTGTTTCCCTTCAGCGGAGGTCAGAAACCTCGTTTGGAGAAACATTATATAATTTTCCCCCCTCCCGCTGGCTACGGATCCGTTTCCGCTTCAAGCTGAAATTACTGGTTCCTTCTGTTTTCAACCGTTTGCGCTGCTACCATCCAGTCCACCTGTACATACGTCAATGAAATATCACCTATCGACGGTGAAGCCATGCTGAGAACAGTACACCCTTTATTTCTACAGGAGGGATTTGCAGCAAAGAGGCTCTCTTTCAAACATCAATATAGCATACTGTGCTCAATGATGAAGAAACGTGAGAGGCATAAGGACTAAAGAATGCAGCAATTTGGTGCGACTTCATGTCCGTACTTCTATGGCCATCTGGATGTCTTTCATAAGACGTTCACAACAAAAACGAGCCAAAAATGACATCAAAATAAGGGCATACACACAGATGCCGGACATGATCACATGCCTTCTCGTGAGCTTCACAAAATATCACAATCGCAATCTTTTTCTTCTCTGTTTCCATGGCTCTCATAACCAGCTGCATTCATCCATAGCAGCCACATCTTCCTGTTAGTGCTCAGACACTGGTCGTCAAGGTTGAGGTTCTTGTCAAAGAGTGGGTGATGTGATCAGGTTGCTCTCCCCGCGAGTGCTTCTCCCACATACGAAGAAACAACCTCTCCAGGTTGCTCGCATAGATCTTCACATCGAAGAGGGGTGATTCTGACCGAGCCTTCCAGACCTTGTGTCGAATTGCCTTCAGGCTAATGAGATATAAAGAACATAAGCTATAGAATGCTGAATTCATCTTTCAACCCATGAGCATTTTGAACATGAGGATAATAGGAATAAAATATGAATAATATGAATAAATAGGAATAGGAGGAATAAAAGATAAAAACTAAACTCACTATTCACGATCAGTGCCAAGGTGAACGGCAATGTCTTCGTACTCTTGTCGAGACTTGGCAATCAATTCTGGGCAACCAAGACAGGTGAGCTGTGAGGCAGCAACACGGGAAGCCAAGGTTTCTCCTGTATAGGGTACAGAACAATGGCATCAGCAGAGCATTGATGTGAGAAAAATTATGAACGAGAAGTTCTTTGAAAGAAAAAACACTTACCAGGGAGAGTGATCATTGGAGTACCAGCCCAAAGGACATCCATGCCAGTTGTATGCCCATTACATAAAGGAGTGTCCAGGCAGACATCAGCCAGCTGGCCTCTTCTCACGTGCTCCTCTTTTGCAGCCACATTGCTGAAAAGGAATCTCCCAGCTGGGACACCATACTGAGCAGCCTGAGCCACTATGTTTGCCTCTCCCACCACAGGAAATCTCAAAAGCCATATCACTGAGTTGGGAACCCTCTTCAGGATCTGCATGGAATGCAACAATCATTAGGTTCAGCATGCAAGGAAAACAGCCAGGCTAGCCACTACCCATTAAAGTCAAGAACACATAATAGCACTGTCTGCTATCCCACCCATGTGATCAAGCCCACCACAGTACATCATGTATGGCACAAGCTCCATTTTTATTGGATGAAAGTTTATATTTTTTGCCTCAAGGCAGGGAAAGAATGAAGTAAATATGTACTTGTTAACAATACAGTCACTTGTCCTGAAGGAGGCCATGCAACACTTGATAAGTGTTGCATGGTGAGTGACAAAAAGGGAAATATGCATTGAAACTCCTGTAATTTTTATTACAAGGTGGGAAAGGTAGAATGCTTCCATCAATCAAACATTAATTTATCAAGCACCTTCCTGGTAATTATTTTTCCAATTGCGAAGCAGTACAGCAACATGGTGGAGAAGAAAAATTGATGCCTGATGGAGCCACACAAACTGCAATTGATATAGCAGCACCAAAGAGTCAAGTAATGTTGATGCTTTCCATTGGCAGTTTTCATAAAGCTTTTGAGAGGAACATGTTCCACTTACATTGACCCACATCTGGAGGGTGGCAGGGTCAATCTTGTAGAGCTGATTGAAGTTGCAGAACACAACAGCACTCTCTGGGAGGCCATACTGCTGCCTTGTTGTCACAAGAATGCTCTGTGGCACTTCCTCCCCAGTTGCTGCCTTGTTGTTCACTTGGTTTGTGGCTAGTCCATTCTGAACCACCAATCCATTCAGTGTTGTCTGGACCAACCCAGTGGAAATCATCGCCTTCAATATGCACAAAGGGCAAAACAAAGTCAACGTCTGACTTCCTTCTAACGACAAGTCATGAGTGCCTGCCAAGCAAAGGGGAGAAAAACTAACCTCAATGTTGGTGGTGGTGGGTAGGTGTGCCACTGTTAGGGACACTTCGATGGGCTTAGATGTGGTGGCAGGTATAACTACAGCCTTCACTTCCTTAATGTCAGTGGTTTCAAGAAGAGGCTTCACATCTGCTGTGTTGATGATAGCCACATTGTCTGGGATGTCAGGTTTCCCACACAGGTTGTCCTAAAAAGGAAATTTACTAAGTTCTTTCAATCTTGCCTCACATTGCTGCAAATGATCCATTAATGATAAATGAGACCAAAATTTACTTTAGAATCGAAGACAATCCTCTCCTTTAGGTGGGGGAACATCTGCACATGGTCTCCAACAAAAAAAGTGTCTGGCATATAAGCCAACTTTTCAGAGTACTGGTTAACCAACTCTAAGGGTGAAGTCACCCTATCAGTGATCAAGTAATCCATGTAAGATGCTCCACTTGTACCTGGATAGCCCAGCCACATCACCTGAGCAGCAAAATAAACAAACACTTCAATGATACCTGATATTTTGCAGCATCTGCATAAAAAAAGTAAATCCAATATAAAATATTTAAAAATTTTGATTGAACTTGTAATATTACTTTATTTTTATTATAAAGGAAGCATGTCCAATAGTCTATACTTATGGCAATGCCTTAAAATTTAATCTGTTCAATAAAAATATGCTTATCACAAGCTTGTGAAAATTCTAAAAACACACAAGTTAAGAAAGGACAGGCATGCATTCACCTGAATAGGAGCTGGTCTGAGAGCAAAGATCTCATTTCGAGCTCCCTTGGTGTAGCCATTCATGTTGACAAGGATGTGAATTCCATCCATATTGATTCTATCTGCTGCTTTACCACAGCATATGACCTGCAATGCACCCAAGAATGTCTTCGATCAAGATGTGGGGTAAGATCAGAAACAGATAAGAGCCAAAAAATGAGGTTTCACCTGGGATAAGTCAACAAAGTGATCTGCGCCTTTGGCCACCTTCTGCCGGAAGGTTGTACCATCATCAGGACTTAAGGCATAGCAGTAGATCTCAACCCTATCCCGATCATGCATGCCAGGAATGCTCTGCATCAGGTGGGATGTTGGATGGTTTCCAAAGTCAGACGAAACATAGCCGATTTTCAGACGGTTCCCTGGTAGCAACTCAGTTGGATATTTGTAAGGTAGTTTGTGAAGCACCTGAATCTGCTCAGAAATGACAGATCAGAACATAACATCAGTCAACACCATCACAAGAGGAAGTTGAAAGAAATCAGTCACCTTCCACACAGACATTGTAATGATTACTTGAATGAAAATTTTAATGGTTCTCCACTTGTGTATTCAGGGGACTAATGACCCTAAATCACTCAAAATTAAACCTACTATATTAAACAGATCTAGTACTGTCATGACATCAATGGAAGGCCTACCTTCTCAAGACAGAGAGAAGCATGTCGAGCAGCAATTGCTTTGCGATACTCATGTGAGAGGGGATACAGCATAGAGTGATGAGGATGGACAGATGGAAGCCGATGGCGCTCAAGCTGATCTCCAACAATGGCCACCAGCTTGGCCATTCGCCTGTCATACTCTGTCCAGTCACAGACAATCTGGAGGCAGTGGGCCAGGTTGCAGTAGGCATCAGGGAAGTCTGGCTTCAACTTCAATGCTGTCCTGTATGACTGGATTGCCTCTGGGATGTTTCCTGAATCCTGATACAATTACATAAAGTTTCACTCACTTCCACAATTTCAGATCAACAGATTCACTTCACCATTCTCATCAGAAAACACCACATAAGATTTCATTTAATCAAAGTGAACCATTACAGTCATTTAAACCTAAGAAGGATGTTTCAAGTATCAAAAGCAGGACATATGATGAAAAATGCAGTACCTTGTGGATGGAAGCCAAATTGGAATGAGCATCAGCAAATGCAGGGTTGATTTGGATGGCACGAGTGTAGCATTGGAGAGCACCCTGGACATCCTGCATCTCTTTCAATGTGTTGCCCATGTTGGAGTATGCATCTGCAAATGTTGGCTGGATCCTGTCAGCAGAGGTGGTGAGAGAAGTCTCAATGAGTATGTCCATGAGTGCACTTAGTTTGAAGTCAGTATTAATGCAATTTAAAATAAATACTCAAAAGGTCTTGTAAAGGTCAACTACTTGAGAGTTCTATGCAATGCTAAGAATGGTAACCATGGAATGCTAACCTGATGGCCTCCTTGTAGTGCATGAGGGCTTCATTGAGCTTTCCCTGCTGCTGAAGGACAGATGCCAAATTGGAATGAGCAGCAGCAAACTCAGGGAAGACCTCAAGGGCTTTGACATAGAGGCGAGTTGCTTCTTCAATCAATCCCTGTTCTCTCTTGATGTTGGCCAAGTTGTTCAAGGAGTCAGCATGGTTGGGGCAGAGTCGAAGTGCTGTGTTGTAGCACTCTTCTGCCTCCAAAACCTGAATGGAAGAACACAAATTGGCAATTCAAAGAGCTGAAGTTTCAGAACCAATGCAAGATAGGAAAATGATTCCTTTCAATATGAAATACACAAAAGAACTCAAGGATTCTTCTGGCCAATCTGTTTCAGGAAAGGGCATGTACAAATGAAATGCATCAACCTAAGAAAATTCATTTTAAGTCACTCAATAGAGCCAGCATCAACTCTCTGGATTTCCCAGTAACTACCATACAAATAATGTTACTGCTTGACACGTTAACTGCCACATGGGATGCAAGCAGGCTGTACATTCTTGTATTCACTGGGCTGGACCAGGTTTTGGCAGTCAACTTGTTAATACTTATTACTTCTTGCAAGATATCAAGTTCCATCCTATGAGAAGCTTGCACAATGCTAACCATGATAAATGAAATCTGTTAAAACAATGAAAGCATTTCCATGAGACGGCTTGCACATCACATGGTTTATAGACTAACCTGCCCTTTCTCCTTGAGTGCATTAGCTAAGTTGCAGTATGCATCTGGGAAATTTGGCTGAAGTTCAATTGCCCTTCGATATGTGTCGATTGCCAAGTCGATGAGCCTGGGAAAAGAAAACAAATACAAGGTATTCACTGAGAGCAAGTATGAAGATCCACATTCTACTCCTCCACTCAACCTTTATCAATATTTCAGCTCTGGTTTCTAAGAATTTTTACTTGTGTATACAGAGACTGAACCCTGGTATATGTTTTATTTATTCATGCCAATCTCTCAACCATAAAAATTTGATGAAGATATCCAACTGACTTTACAGGGAGCCTCTAAGCTTCTCAGAACTTCCATTGAGTTCTCCAGCAATTATGGTAGAAAAAGCCTCTATCATCTTTGACACATATTGCCTTTGTCAGAGAATGGAAGGACTTCAATGCTCTGTCATCATCCTTTCCCTTTTCAGCTCCCAAGAGAACTCTTGATATATGGAATATAGAAGAGAAGGATATTAAAGAGGGAACTCACCCTTGCTCATAGTAGACACAGGCAAGATTTCCATGCACAACAGCATGATTGGGACTGAGATTCAAGGCTCGCAGATATGCAGCCACAGCCCTAAAAAACATCAAAAGGGAAACAAATGGCTTCATTGGGGAGAGTGCAGCTCCAGTTTCATCCCAGCATCTCCATTTCAATCCTAAGTATTAAACCAAATACTAAAAAAGTAATTGCTTTTGCTTAATGTATGCTACTCTCATTTCCTTGATGTAAAGGGAGTCCTTGAGAGTCTATGCTGATGGATTAAATAATAATGAAGAATGTCATTCAGCATTTATGAGAAGCCAAACAAATTGATCCCCAACTTCAAAGTCTTTCCCTTCCCTTGTTTCCTTGATATTCAGGGAAATGTCTTGCCTGAACCAAGGCAGGAAAAGTGAGGAAACGTCATGGAATTAAGATAGTATGTACGGCACCATGGGTGCAGCACAAGAAAGAATCCTCCAGTCTCGTGGGGGGGGGGAGTTTAACCCTTTTCTTCATAATAAAAAAAGTATGCGACTTACGGTGCCGAAACGGTTACGGTGAAGAAAATTCTTACAAAAAAGTTTGGAAGTCGAGTAATTTATTTACCCCATATTAAGCTCCTTATCCACCCATTACTTTTTTTCCTCTGCAGGCAAGGAGGAAAACAAGATAAAATGGAAAAAGTCCCAGCAGAGCGATAAATCTCCTTTTCTCCATCTTCTGGCTCAGACTTAATTATTTCTCTTCACACCAAATGGCACGGCATTATCGCGCCGAGAAAGTACTTACGCGAGGACATGACACTCACCAAACGAAATTACTCTTCATTGAAATGAATGCTAGACACTTAGCTGGAAGTAATGGGGAAATGGGAGGGAAAACGAAAGAGAAAGAAGGAAATGGGAAGTCCCTGGAGTGGGCGTCCATCAGAACCCTTCCCTCCTCCTCCTCCCCCTTCCTCGCCCCCGAAATTTTCCTCCTTTATTCTATTCCCTTTTTCTTGCGCCTGGTTCACATCCCCGGAGTAGATAGGAACCATGTCAACTCCGACAAGACGAAGACGGAACGTCACAGGAGGATTTTACGATCCCATTCCTCCCTTTCCGCCATCGTGAGAATGCAACGCACACCCCGTGAAAGCACTATAACAGAGGCAAACGACGCGGACGAAATCCCAACGATTTGTTTCCCTCATCATCCCTCCAATCCAGGCTCCGCTTTCCTCCATCATCCGTCCGATCCATGCACTGCATTAAACATGAACAGGGAGCCACGAAACCTTAGCTCCTCTCAGGAGCATAACTGCACGATGGCGAAGCAAAGCAGGCTTGTCTCTTAATAAAACATCGCAATTTATAATCACAATCTAAATCGCGGGCGCCAGCTGTCGGCCTGGATGACGGCTGGGCGAGATGCACAATCCTCTATCGACATTCCAATTACGTGTGACAAATTCCTCACTTCCACGCGGCACCCGAGCTATATCCAAGATCGGCTGATTAATGGATTCCCCACCTCTTTTCCCCTTCATGAAAAGTGACGGTTGCAGTACGATCAACGAATAGTCGTTTTTCACCGTCTCAGACTAACAGTCACGCCATCACAACAGCGATAAATTGCAAAACCAGATGAGCTTTCATATGGTCCTGGCCATTCGGTGCCTGCGCGGTCGATTTAAGCTGAGGGTTGGGGGGGGGGGGGGGGGTATTAGGGCTTCAAGGCATCCTGTATATGGCAGGAAGATAGCGAAAGAAGATTCAAAGATGGACAGTATATCTCCTTTTCCCTCCCCCCTATTCTTTCCCTAGAGACATTCTCATAAAACGTTTCCCCTATCTGACAAGAAAATGCTTTCAATGTGAATCGCATTTTGCGACTTAGCCCAATTTTATCTGAATCACCCTTGCGCGAACCCCCAGAAAAGGGTTTAGGGGGGAGGGGGTTCGTGCAACACTCCGAAGGGGAGGGAGGGGGAGAGAGAGAGAGAGAGAGAGGAAAAACACTGGTCGGAAGCGATAACGAAGGCGTTACGAGTTTCAGCGTTGATTGAAAAAACCAGCCGCGCTGTCGTCTGTCAGGGGATTTCCATCTGAACGGAATTCACTGCCAAGGCTTCGTCCCCAATGAGAGCATTCCCATTTTCCGGTATCTGATCCCATTACTCACTCTCTGCCACAAGAGAGGCACATTCATCAAGGAACATAGCCGGGCACATGGCAGTGCAAGCAACGAACCCACCCCGTTTTTTTCCAACAAACAAAACTTCCTTTTTCATCTCACGAACGTCGGAAAACGTCTGCCAAATAGAACGAGAGCTCATCGTCTCGTGTCACCCCGGAAATGAAGTGGGAGAAGGAGGAAAGAATAATATTCCACGACCCACTCAAAATGAGGATGAGACCCCTGTGTTCAGAACAAGGGCAGCCAACCTAATGATGAGATTTAATGAATGACCTACGGAAAGAGAAGATCGAAGAAAGGACAAAAGGGAGAAAAGAATGGCGCAATATATAGGATAGAGAAGAGGTGGATCGGTTGCCATGGGAACCACCTGCCTTGCCCGGGCCCGGAAGCAACCTTATTGCATCCCCGTCATCCAGATCCACCCTGGGCATTCATCTCCATTCAAAGGCCATGGACCACTGCGTGGCGCGGAGGAGATACGAAAATCCCTTTTACGCTGATGGAGTTCGCTGCTCCCCAATCCAATTTAGCCTGCGAGCTGCTTTTATCGATCATCCTATATCTCGGCGGGAGCAATGAAAGCGGCCACACCAATCATCCTCCAACGAGGCTCCAATGACTTCGCTGGTCGTCTCGTCCTCGTTCTCGATTGTTACGTTGTGCACTCTACTCACAGATCATATCTGATTGGTGGAGGATCGTAAAAGATGGATTATCGGCGCACAATGAAGCCGTAGCCTCTCTCCACCAGTTATTCGAAGCCAGAGCTGGAGGACAAAATTGCTAAAAATAAAAAATAAAAAAAACATCCCTTCTCTCCACACTCATCATAGGCAGTGACAAGGCTTTTCCCTTCTCTTCAGGTGCACTTTCGCTGGCATTTCGTGCTTAGAAGACGAATGAAATGCATTACATGTACAAACATTGGTGTCAAGATTCATGTGAACGAGGATGATTCACGGATACCCGAGGAAAACATCCTCGTAACTAATACTGGATGAATCAGCGGAAAACGATGCCATATCATTTTTTTCGTGCATATACAGACCTCAAGAGAATCTCTTACTGCAGAAAATGCGCTGGGTGTCCATTTACTTGATGAGCTGGGAGGCGACAGGCAACTGCGTTTAGGAACTCAAATCAAATTCCAGCATCCGCCTACGATACTTTACGCTTCAATTTCTTGGCAGCGAGAACGAAAGCCGCACGCATTAATTTTTCAACGAAACGTGACAGCCTCAGTAGCAAGACCTGCGACATGTCCTGGTTTCCTTCCCAAAAGAAAGTGGGCAATAGCGAATCGTCAACGATTCATAATTTTTCTTCAGACTTCTCAGAATCACGCTCGATTCAAGGGGGCTCCGGTAGCAGTCCATTTATATCGCAAAGGCCCGACAGAGTCACATGCCTGGTCCTCGTGACTTTTGGCTTCCCTGAGAAATCCCTTCCCCAGCCGCTGTTTTCCCAATCGCCTTTCAAATCCAGAAAGAAGCTCCATGCTTCGCATACCAAATGAAACAAGGTCTTGATAGCTGCTTGAAGGGAAGGAAATTTCGCGCCACTGTCGCATGAAATACCAAGAACGGCAACGCGAAAGGATGTACGGAATGCCAATGTGCCTTCATTCCCCTTTTCAATTCCTTTTCTTTCTTCTTTCCAACATTCCAGAAGTTAAAAAAAAAATGACAAGAGCACGCAATAGAGCGAGAAGAAAACCCGGGGAAGGAAATAATTAAACTCGCTCTCTGCCCCTGCTCCGAAGAGCAAGTACCGCCATGTAATTCACCACAAACGAGCAATTTAAAAAAATGAGCGATACTTGTCTTTCTGCGAACCGTCGGTTTTGGAAGCCAATGGCTCGTTCCCAGACACCACCATGACGTGGCTTAAAAAGCGGGGTCCCTCAAGAGTTCAAATTTAGAATACATCAATCCTTCAGCCTTCTTCCTAATCCTTCCTTCTCTGCTATAATATCTCACAGAATTTCCTAGCTGTGAGGCTGAAGTTCTCGCATAATAGTCTAATCGCGAAGGGTCCGAATATCCACATGAAACACATTACTACTTTATACATGTTATACATAATAAAGGGAGGGTTTGACAAATTAATCGCAGAACATGCGAGGTGAGGTCTATAACCCCGAACGACTTCTCCCCGGTCTCTCTCAGATATCGAAATTAGTGTAAATTTGCTGTATTACTACTCATTAATCACGAGAAGAGAGACACGAGAAATGAGTACTATCTACGTACAACATTAATGAGAGCTGGGAATAGCTATATCGTTCGGTAATTCATGCGGATTCCATCTTTGAAAGCGGCAAGTGAAGGGGGAAAATAACCTTCACCCCCCCCCCCCCCCTCCCAATTTTTTTGCATGACGCTTACGCTTTGAAGATGGATTTGAGACAGCCACAGCAGCCGGAATGGAGGCGATCGTGATGGTCCAGAGGAGGGGGGGGAAGGATCGTCACGATCGTGTAAACCACGATACACTGATAATCCATGAGGACGAGGTACTGACTTATGCACGAGACACAGAGACAGGGGAACAGTTATCACAGGCAGGGAGGAAGTACTCGGTTGGTGAGATCTGAGCAAGGGACAGGGGACCACGAAAGATCAAGTCACGTCACATCGGATGCCATGATGAGGAACCGGATCCGAATCCGAGTCATTCTGTGGGACGCAATTAAGTCCTGGATGACGACGGCCTCGCATGACCTGAACCGAGTTTCTCGTGATGAACAATCACTACAGGAGGGAGATGAAAGGCAGATGGATGCTTGTGTGTGTAGGTGGGAAGGAGTGAGGGAGATGTATGAGGCCCCCCCTTCCCTCGGACGTCAAAGAAACCCCACCGACTCCTGCGACGGCGCATGCGCATGAACCTTGGCCCCCTTTTATTCCCCCGCGATTGCGTGAAAAGACCCCACTGCCTCCGTAACTCCTCCGATGAGATACAAGGAAGGGGGAACCCTGTCGTCTCTCTCTCTCTACTTCATTTTCCACTCCCATGCATATCTCGCGAAGAAGTCAAAGGGGAGAACCAGAACCGTTGGCAACCCTCCATCCGCCACAACCATCTATTTATGTGCCGATGATATATCGATATGTGGCGGAGAGAAGTCCGGGAAAATCCGATTACCAAAGATTTCGGCCCTTCTGGTGTTGGAATCCGGAAGGAAAAGGACGTCGGGAGGAGGCGGGGCTAGATGTAGGCTTGGATCGATCGACAGGAAAGAGGAAAGGAAGAGGAATGAATGGTATAGGATTTCGTGGAAGTTCCGGCTTCTTTTCACTTAGCCTTCCTCCTAGTACAAGCTCGGCCATACGAGACTTCGATTCCTAACCCACCCCTTGCCACACTTAGTAAGACGCATGTATATACTCATTTCCCAATAATATTTCAAATAATGAAGTTATTTGTAGCGCTATCCAGCCTCGAAGGAAGCCGACTCCAGCAACGGATTCACAGTTTATGGACCGGCAAGGCGTTTATTCTTTTTGCTAAGATTCTAAAATGTGAGGGGAATCCAAGTCATACAAAAGCTAAAATTATGCATCTCCTTCTCCCCATTTCTTCCGAAACCCTCCTTTCTTGCATTGAAACATACCACAACAGAAAACCCATTTATGACTTTTCTTTTTCTGTCGCGGGGCATTAGTGGATACCCCGAGTGAATATCTCATCTGGAGAAATGCCAGATTTTTTAGTGCTTTTTTTTTTCTTCTCTCCGCCCCGGCCTTCCTCCTCCCATAGATTTTTTTGCTAAATTAGCGTATAAAGAACAAAGGATAAATAGTAAATGAGAATAATACATAATTAATAAATATCAAACGTGTGTGAAACGTGTACAATACCAAATGTGATGTGACTTTTGCGACATCCAATACAGTGTAGGCTTATGTCTAAAAAGTGGCCAGCTAGTCGCCATTTTTCGACTCTTCTTTTTTTTATTATAAGGAAATTGGGAATTAAAAAAAAAAACCTCCAGGCCTAATCACTAAAGTAAAGCCATCACACAAAGGCTCTGCAGCCTGAAGGACACATCACCATGACTCCAGGAAAGTGACATAATGAACTTCATAAAATGAAAAACTTGACTTGGAACACTGCTTTGATATATAACTGAGTGATATAAAATATGCTACAACATGAGTTATGAATACAAACAGGCTGTACCTCCATACATTTCTGTTTTCAATTCCTACTTCTACCACTCCATATCACCAATTTCTTACCTAAGAGAACAAACTCACCGATCAAAGATGCGTGCTTCCTTAAGGACATTGCCCAAGTTTATGTAGGCATCAAGGAAGTTGGGATCCAAAGCAACTGCTTTCTCAAAGTGATGAATGGCAAGCCAAATCTCCCCTTGAGCATTGAAGACACACCCCAGGTTGCTCCATGCCACAGCAAAATCAGGACGTGTTTCGATGGCTTTCAAGTAGCAGGCCTATATCCAATGTTCCACATAGGATTGATGGAAGCAGTCAGGAGAAGGAAACGGGGGGGGGGGGGGGGGGGAGAAAAAAAAATACACATAAAAGAAAAGTCATAAATGGGTTTTCTGTTGTGGTATGTTTCAATGCAAGAAAGGAGGGTTTCGGAAGAAATGGGGAGAAGGAGATGCATAATTTTAGCTTTTGTATGACTGGGAGAAAGAAAAATTCACATTAAGTAGGGCCCTTTAAATAAAATCAATTTACTCTCAAACCATATGCACTGCGCAGCGCCCTGGCCTGCATTCTAAAAATCGCCCTATCGCAGCCTGCCTAAGCTCAGTCTACACAGGCAACGCAGAAGCTCTCCATTCCATTTCCAGCAATGACATTAACTGACCAATCCAGTCACCAAACAAGACATGAGGAGCAATAATAGCTCCTCTCCAAAGGAAAAAAAATAAAAAAAGCATTAAGAAGCTGGAGTTCATGGAATGAAGTGGGGAGGGGAATAGCGCGCTGTGCATAGCTTAACACGGAGCAACTCCCATGCAGAAGCCCTAATGCTCTACCTAAATCTCGCATTCCTACTGAATTCAAAATATATCCCCAGATCAAATAATATTCACCTCTGGGGATGGTTTTCATCATTTACTTTAATAGCAGTCAAGCATGACGTTACCTGCTGCACTGTGGGTGTTGGTACTCATAAACAAACCACACGGAGTCCATGCTGTGACACACAGCTCAGCCTGCCTGGAAAGCCTGGGTCCAAGTGCAATCTATCTGGCCTTAGGAGAAGAAGCGGGAGGGAAAAAAAAGAGAAGGGGAACCTCCTCTTTACTATTCTTTAGAGTCTCTTAAATTTCTTCACTACCACCAAAGCTTACTGCCTACAATAAAGTGATTGTCACATACTTAAAACAAAGACCATACTTTAAAATTCCAGCCTACCAAGTATAAGATAACAGCTATAATACCATATAATGAGAGCAATCTGCCCAGTGAATGGATGAGTAGATAGACAAGCATGAAGAAAGGCTCAGATACTACAGGATACTTTTGCAAATGTTCTCCTATGAAATCTTAACAGAAACTTAATGTTATCCTGTCATGCTTTCACCTGCTGACTCCAAAAATGAGATATGCTTACATCTGAAGATACATTTCAATTTGAATGAACCGGCATGATGTTCTGGTGTCAAAATATACATATGGACTAATTATTCCAATATTCCAACTGTTTTCATGACAGACTTGAAAGTTGCATGACACTATAGCCTACCCCTGTAACTTGCTACTGATTCTTTCTATTCATGGGTGTCAAGCCATGCAACAAAAAAAAATTTTTGGCCAACCATGACGGAAAACTTTAATTAAATAACTGCAAAATTCTGTATATGTACATATATATCATATAGATTAATAAATAATTTATGATAAATACGAGGGCTGGTCAAAGAGTTCCCGGAAAAAGTGACTTCTTATTGTCCGATCCCCACGATTTTTTCACTGTGTATTCTTATATATCTTAATAGTTTTCCCTTCTAATTTCGGATCCCTGCGTTAAAATGGAGACTCGCAAGCGCGCGAGAAGTGAAACGAGTCAGAGGGTCTTGCCACCCTTGACGAACCGTGACAAACGCGTTGCAATTTTGGTGCAGTTTCGGTTGGGAAATTCGGCGGCACAGTGTTTCGAAACCCTTCAAAAGGCACTTGCGGACCAAGCTCCATCCAAAAGCACTGTCTACGAGTGGTTTGCGAGCTTTCGATCTGGCTCCTTCAGCCTCGACGACGATCCCCGTGAAGGTGGTCCAAATTTCATTGTTACTCCAGAGAACATTGCCAGCATGAAGCGACACCTAGACGAGGACAGGCGAATCACCACCAGGGAATTAGAGAAGCTCGTTGGGGTGTCGCATGGCTCGGTCATCAAGATCCTGCATGAACACCTTGGGATGAGGAAGCTCTGTGCTCGTTGGGTTCCGCACCAGCTGAAACTGGATCACATGAAAGCTCGTGTGGACTTCTGTGAGTTCATGCTTCAGAAATTCGACGGTGGAGCCTCTGAAGCTGTGGGAAACATCCTCACAGGTGATGAAACCTGGATATACTTCTACGACCCAGAGACAAAGAACCAGAGCAAGCAATGGGTTGCTGAACATGAAGAAATTCCGGTGAAGTTCTGCACCATGACAACGCTCCGGGGCACAAGGCAAAAGTCACCCAATCATTTTTGACCTCAAAGAAATTGGCTCAACTTCCCCACCCGCCCTATTCACCAGATTTGGCACCCTGCGACTTCTTCCTCTTCCCAAAAATGAAGAAAAACCTGAAGGGGAGGCGTTTTGACATGCAGGGGGATCTTGTGAAGGCGATGGAAGAGGAACTGGAGAAGTTTTCAGAAGCTGATTTGCAGGACTGTTTTTCTGCATGGTTTGGTCGCATGAAAAAGTGCATCGATCATGGCGGAAAATATTTTGAGAAGTACTAATATGTTAAAGAAAGTATCCTGAAAAAATTGGCGAAATCAGAGAACAATAAAAGCATTTTTCCGAGAATACATTGACCAGCCCTCGTACAACAGAAAATTTAGATGTAATTGAGCCAAACTTCAGCCATAAGAACATCATTGTATTGAATGCCTCCCTGTGAAAAGTGCCCATATCCAAAGTGAGTGTGAGGCATTGTTGGCTTTGGACATTGTTGCTATGGCAACTGCTAACAATGATCTTATGAATTTTGTTGTCTTGGCCATCGCTGGTTTACTACAGTGCTCTATGTAAGTCTGAAGCATCCAGTTAGTGCTCAATAATAAAATTTTGAATTTTGGTGTTGCTCTCAAGATGCCAGGAAAAAGGTAAGGAAGTTTAAACCATTCTGCAGCATGATTCATTGTGGAGTCAACTAATGAAAGAGCAGAAGAGTAAGTATGAAAAGCTTCCATTCTACTTATTTCACCCTGTGCATGCATGGGCTTCTACACTAGTAGGGCATTAATGAATATCCCAAGTCAAGCATGAGCAATGAAAAGAATCAAGGTGGCAGGTTTATCTGCAGCTTCAGAATGACATTATCAAATTCAACCCAAACTTTCATCTTCTGTTTGGAAATTGTACATTGGTGGGGTTCAATCACACCAAAACATATTGATATGGATGAAGATGATTATAATAATCAGGTATCTCCAAATAGGATCAACACAATTCAAGTTTCCTAATGGCATGCTCCCCATACAAGCCTTATCAAGGATTTTTTTTTAAGGCACACGAGTCCCTTCATTATCTTGCAAAAACTTTCACAAGCTAATAGGCTCCATAATCTATCCCATAAAATCAACGTAATGTCTACTTCCTAGTCTAAGATTAAGCAATATATGATGATCCAGAAGGATTGGATAATTCATATGAATCCAGGATGGATCTGGGTCACTATATCATTCTACCAACAGCTAAGACTGACATTAAAGTCTGCATGACTGCTGCAAAATAATGACTTGTGAATTTAACCAAAGTGTGACAGACTGCTGGATGTCTATAGTACTGAAAGAAACTTGATAAATAACGGGGTTTGAACTGTAAGTAGTGATATTTCTTGTTCAATGAATTGGCATATTGACCCATTTTTCCTTTACTTATACATCTCCATAAGTAATGACTTGCCCTGTTAAATTGACTATATATGGGATTTCTTGGATTAAGATATACAGTGACCCAAGGGATGATGGAATGACTGTTCTCATCATTGATGTGACTTGTTTTGTTTGAGTCATTCATATCATTGAGGTTACCATTTATCTGTCAATGAGATCAAGAAGGCAGTGAATAAAAGCAAGCACATTATAGCTTTAGGCAATCGAGTTTGACAAATATCAGCTAAAAACTCAGGCAGCTTTGTCGAGGCTCTAATACGATTTGAGATACGCACCTTCTTTGTGCAAATGAAGGATATGGCTTTGGACAAAATAAAATGAGGTATCATTCCCTCACCATACAGTAGTAACATTTTGGGTAAAAATGTAGAACATACAGTAAAACCTTTCAAGACTAAACTGTTTAATCTGTTGAGTAAAGCATCACAAAATTTCAAATACTACATGGACCTGCACTTATCAATACAAGCTCACAGTGCTGTCACCAACTGATGTCAGTCTCAGCTGATGATGAAATGAAGAGTAGCTGATTATCATGGAATGACTTGACCCATATAGCAATTGAGGATGCAATCATTTACCCTGGTTATTGGGTATTTTCAAGAGCAAGAGATGGTCTCCTGACTACTCACAAAGGTTAGATACTGGCAGAAAATAAGTTTTAAAAAACCTACTTGTAATTTCATTTTAAACAAAACTGCAATCACAAAAATTTCATAATAAAATTACTGCTTGTTCCTTAGCCCAATGAATTTTCAAGTTTAATGAAGGAACCATACAACAGATGTACAACTAACAAAATGTTAAAATTAAACAACTACCTAACAAGCATAAGATAAATGCACACATGGGAATCAAGTCATTCCAAGACACCTCATAGGCCTACCGGAGGACTGCTACAAACCCCTGATACCCAGAGGTGGGCATTGAGCTGCTGCATGGTGGCCTCAAGGAAGAAGCATCCTCCTGCACTGTAGGCCTGAGAATGACATTCATTTGAGCCAAACACATATCCTTCCAAGTTCATTCCTCCTTATTTCTCGAGCACCTCAACATGTCAAAACTAAGCCTATGCACTCTACCCCCACTAGTGGATGAATTTTTCAAAATAATAATCCTTCTGATCTGTTAAAATTTTGGTTAAATGACAAGTTTAACAAGAAGTTTTATAAGAAATCCTTTGTTACCAAATATTGATATGAAGAGTAAAAACCTTACCAGTCAATAGACCAATGACAACAAAAGGAGAAACTCACATGAACATGATGCAGGTGATGAGGTGGAGTTTCTTGATGAAATAGAGATGGAATGGGGAACAGAGAGAAAGTCAAAGGCAAAGTCGCAACAGGAAGGGATATGAACAACACTCCAACTCTTGAATAAAATATTTGTGAATATTATGAACTTCATCAGCCTTGACTTTTCTAAAACAAAATGCAGATTCAAGAAAACAGCCATATGAAGAGCCCATGGGAAGGGGGAGAGCTCCTTACATCATGCATACATAGTGTGCATGATACAGGATCCCTTCATCGCGCTATGCTGCTGGTCATACGTCATTAAGGGCATCAGGGGTTCATGTGAGACCACAAAAACACTACCATCCTCAAATATTTTAAAAGATTCCACTTTGTATTTGAAAGAAGAAAAAAATTCCATAGCATCTTCATTTTTCAAGCGATCAATCATCAATCACTCCTTGGGAACATGGCTTATGATAATCACTCATGGGCAACCATACAAGCCACACAGACTGCTTCTGAAGCCTCCACTTATCATAGCCTCACGATTATGCTTTTATACATTTCAACACCTATGACATAAATAAATGAAGCAATACTTTCATCTATGCAAAATGCATAGAATTCAATTCATGAGTTTCAAATATGGGCAATTTAAATATTTGAAACATGCCTGATTGAAGCTTGCCTGAGGTTGTATGGCAATGCACACTGTCTGGGAAGAATGGAATTCAAGAGAGCCTAATGCCCACAAAGACGCATTCGTGCTTGCGCAGAGTGAAACATGAAGCTGGATCCAAATTAGGGATTGGTGCAAAGTCTGATGGTTAAAATTTATAATGATGCAAAATATATAGAATGCCCAATAAGAAAAAACAATTCAATTCATGAATCCAATGCTTCCACATTTCACAGTCAAAGAAGTAAATTTTGATTGGCCCATGTCAATGGACGAGCTCAGGATGGTCTGTCAATGGATAAGCTCATGATGCCAGCCTGGCAGAAGAGCTAAGCCTTCCTGTTCTAGTCCATTTAGAGAGAAGCTTCTCTCCATCAATGAAAAGCAGATGCGAAGAAACTCCAGACGCTAAGCAGAGAACAAATGCCTTACACGCAGGGGTGCCATCACGGGCTACCCATATGGCCAGATGTATGCTTTTCATTCCTACATGAAAACCAGACATATCTCAGAGTGTTGTTCCATCAAGGGGAGTCAGAAACAAGAGGAATGCAGGGGTGTGGAAATAGGCATAGAGAAGAAGGAAGGACAGGGAAGGAGAAAAAGTAATTAGCCTAGCATGCAGTCTCACCTTTGCCTCATCAAGTCTTCCTAGTGCTTTCAATAGGTTCCCCAAGTCACTTCTCACACAGTAAAGATCCTGGGAAAGAGGTACAGAAGGAAAGACACACAATTACTGACTTATAAAATATATATGGGGCATTCATGACTTAAGTCAACCAACTGGATCAATGAGATTACTTTGCCAAGCTCACTCAAGCTAGTGATTTCAGCTTGAGGTGACTGGCTAAGACTATAAATCCACTTGAATGACACAGAGACCATTGTGACTTAATTGGAAATATACCCATCACCTATCTCAATATACTTGGACTTCTCAATTCTAAAGACCTACTCTACATGTCCAAACAACAAGTCTCATAAAGAGTTAAAAAGCTTCAAGTGTGAAATAACTAAAATCCATCATTCACTTATGACTGACAATATTAAAGTGCCAAGGGGGAACTCACAGGATTATACTGTAGAGCAGAGACATATGCCTGGACGGCACCTTCTAGATCACCGGCAGATACAAGAGCAGCTGCCAGGTTGATATATCCATCTATGAAATCCGGCTTCAACCGAATGGCATGCCGATAGTTTTCTAGAGCTTCTTGCAATCCTCCCTTTTCCTTGTAAACATTCCCAAGATTTGAATAGGCTTCAGCCAGCATGGGATTTTGTTTGATTGCCATCATGCTGAAGTGTGCAGACCTGCAAAATCAAAGAAGGTTCAGATCAGATAACACAGATTCATATTTAATGTCAATACACTTCATTTAGGATAAACACAATTTTATGGAGGATGCATTTATCCATGTCTGTCTGCTGCCAATAGGCATACATACAGAACCACTCTATAGGCTCACTATGAAGGGAATATAGGCATGGACAGCCTGACATGAACAATTACTCATTTTTGCCACATTAAGCAAGTGAGATGAAGAGTGCAAGTATCAGAAGCACTAGTACCTTTAATGCATCCGAAACAATTTCGAAGTAGCAGGTCTTTCATAAACCTATCATTTTCTATTACTTTTTTAAATCAAGACACTAGATGCCCACCCTGTAGTGATAAGTGCTGATACCATGAAATTTATATGGTGCAACATTATGATGCAATCCCTTGAAGATTGCAGTGAGAGCAATAAGAAAATGAGTTTTGCTAGGCTATCCAATAACCTAAGGCAACCCTGACCAGCGACTCTGAGAGTGACTATAATGAATGTTTTTTATAATGAAGTTATAGATGTCATCAACTAATTAAAGGAGAAAGATAGGTGTTCCATCCTGTGCAGTAGAAAAGCAATTGATGAGAGTTTTGGAGAAAAAAAAAAGGGAACTACTGCTTCACGCTCCATTCTATTTAATCTATTTCTATTTTTGTACAAGTTTATTTCCATTAGACTGCAGCAGTCTCTAAATATGTTCCATGACATGTGCCCAACCAGAAATGCCATAGTATGTACTTTGTATGACCAGTCAAAGGTGGATGATCCAGCCAAGGACTCATCATGAAGCAGGGTTTCTAGCCAAGTTATTTCGGAAACTTTACCGGGGCCCGTATCACCTCTCACGATGCAACTGACCCCTCTCTACACCCTTTTCCTCCTACTCGACTTGCTCATAAATAAAAAGTAAAACTGTTGAGACATTTATACATTTATATGCAAGCAATGTCACGTCTATAGTTGTCGATTATATAATTTTTTCAGGACTGATTAAAGAATATAAGAAACTGTTAGTTCCATTTCCCAATCATTTTCTTGGCTACCAGTATGCATCGATGCGTCCAAGTCATCGTTCAAGGTTTCGTCTGGGATCACACTACACCTCGGCAGTGTGAAAGGAGAACCAAAATCAAAATTGGCAGGGACCCGAAGAGTCACATATTGCTTGGAGGAGGGGTACAGTGCAGGAGGTAATACTGGCGGAAGAGAGAAAGAAAAGTTTTGGCAGGCGACAAGCCCGTCTTCCCTTCTTTTCCCTCGCTTTTTTTTCTCTCTCTCATCGACATGTTTTGCTTGTCACAAAGAGTAGCAGTCCCCAGAGGTTATCTATATTCCTCCATTCTGAGATTGATCCCATCCCACCATGTCTCAAGAAATCAACGAAAAAGGACGAAGGGGGAGGGGGTGCAGGGATATACGGAAAGACGGAAACAGGTGTGCAGACACAAATCTATTAATATAAACAAAAAAAACTCGTACCCTCGCAGCTCAATCCGGCTTTGCCTTCTATATAATACCTTCTACACGGTCACCTTTATCTGCTGTGGAAATTCTCGGAAATGCAAGAGACGGAAGGAGAGGGAACAATATTTTTTCCAGTTGAGGGGAGGGGGCCTAGTCTCGAGGCCCTGGCACGTGACTAACAGGAAGCACGCCATGCACCGTTCAAAGCCTTACTGTTCTCTCCGAGATATGAACTTTTCTCTCTCTCCCTTCTATGGAGACAGATCGAGTAGATACCTTGCTCCCTGAATTCTCTCTCAGTCGCTCATGACTAATTCGTGAGCGGACGTAGACACGCGCGCAATCGCTTAATCACCACCACTTTAAATAACTTTAAATAGTGCGCTTCCCTCGGCAGTTATACAAAGAGTGTGACAAAAATATCAGATTTTAATCTTAATATCTCAACATTTATTGGAGACAATCTTGCGAAACATTGTACTGGGTCTAGACTGCCCGTCCAGATACGTTCTCAACCCTCCTTAAAAACGTAATGCTAAATCGTTCCGCAAGAGGTAGGCTGTAGCTTGCTTTGAACATGAGCCTATCAGTCCATATAGGATGCAATTTCTCAAGAAAACCGTGAAAATAGCAGCAATAAGAGCAGAGATTTTTGTGCAAAAGTCGGGAGTCTTTCCTTCCCTGTCCATCTGTTGCTGTCATTTGAGAGTGTTTAAGCGGTAAAAAATTATATATATTCCAGGATAATTACTTTTTAAAATCGGGGTTGGATATCTTGCCAGGCGACGAATTTTTAGACAGAAATAAATGGAAATTTCGGCGTTTTAACGGTGCAGGCCGTCCAATAATTAAAGCCTAGTTATAAACCTGATGGGGCATTAAATCCACCTCTGAGAGGAACTTCCCTGCATTAACGGATGCTGCACGCAAGTAAAATATGAATGACACATCTAACTTTTTCAAATTTCTAAATATTCATGGATGATCAGTTTATCGTCACTTTTCCCACTCCTTGAAATCCCAGAATTTACTTACACAATAACATATGATATAATTAGGCGAGGGGTGGCATGTTCAAGATCAGTTAAACAAATTCTAATAAGTGGCTGCTCTTATGAAGCAGCTAGTACTTTTCACTCAAAATCTTAAAGAACCATGACACCTACTTAGGCTCAGTGGTTCAGCCACCTGTCATTGCAATATGTTCTAGACCTATATCAAGATTTGGCATGAATATTGAGCCAGTCAAACAAGCATAAGTAAAGAGGAACATCAGTACTCACTTATCCAAGCGTTTGCATTGAAAATGAATGGAACTCAGGAGCAAGAGCACGCCTGTATTTGTTGGCTCTTGTTTCCACAACTGAATGCAATGGCGTTCAGCATTCTCATAGTCCCCAGCTTGGTATTCTCTGTGGGCCAGTTCAGCAAGATCTAGGAGGAAATAATAAATATCATTGCAAAAAGCAATATTAACAATGACACACACATATAACTAACTACACAATAAATAGAATGAGAAGTGATCAATAAGTTTTGGCAGTGATCTTCTATTTTTAAAAGTCCCCCTCAATAATATGCAGGTATATGGAGCCATGGTTGGAACTGAAACAAGAGAATCTCACCTCTATACATTTGGAATCAATAAAATATGTTAATCTAAGGATCGACAAGGGGAACTATATATTAAAAAAAAAAAGCTATGAACTTCAGACACACGTCCACAATCTCCCCTTCATCTTCAACATCACACAATTATTAGTGCACTCATAGTATTTAGCCTGTGGTATACTCTTCAGCTGTTAAATGGCACCACAGGCCAGTCCTGAATGCACAAGAAGCTCTTTCCTAGCAAGTCTAGATTCTAGAGTATTTGCCTAGGAACAAATTTTTTGTACAGGAATCAGGCAAAGGCTGTTGCATGCCCACTTCAAATTCTTAAATCAAGGCTGCTTGAAGGACCTTTCTGCATATTCAGGACTTGGCCTGAGGTGTCAGAGCTGAGAAGCATCCCTGTGTGAGCACAGTGTGTGACACGATTGCTTTTTAACCCTTTGACGAGTATGCCTGTATATATACAGGCTGACATCCTCATGCCCTCCACATATTCACTATGGGTGATCTTCTAGGCATTAAAAAAACCCACTCCTCAAAGGGTTAAGTAGCAGCTGAAGAAAATGCAGGGAAGTGTGGATAATAGATTCTGCTGATGGGATGTATATCTCATTAATCACTCATTGTAAGACCTAATACCTGACTATCAATAATACAACAAAGAGTACATAATTTGAATATATAATCATTGACATGTAATTATTAACTTCCAAAACAAAAAATGTCACAGAGCATACTTAGAACATCAAAATCAGGACCATCCAATCAAAGTATAACCATTACAAAATATTATGTTCAGTGGTAGCTTCTACTGGAAGGATGGTGACACCATTGCATGTAAAAAAAAAATCCTGATATTGGTTTGATCTAAGGAACTAAGAAGCTAAAACAAATTTGCTTGGAAGCACATTCCATATGAGTATCATATAATGACAAATTTTTGCTAGGCCTGAAAGCTGAAATCCCATATGGGTGAGATAAAGGAGGCTTTAACCTTTTCATAGCTGAGTTTTATTTGGGATCCATGCTCAGAGAATGATGATGGAAAACAGGTATAATAAGGAGCCATGCCAGATGAATGACTTCCCATTAACAAGTATGTTCAGGAGCCATGGTTAAAGGGTTAAGTTGAAGAGCTCTTTTTCCCTCAAAGGTGTTCATGGATTCTTAAAAGAACATCAACTGAAGGAGATTTTAGCATTCAGGTCAAGATCTTCAACGCCCTTCAGTTCTGTGGGATTTAAATCAATTTATACAGCCTGATTCAGGAGAAGATTATAATTTAAATGCCTAGAAAGCATCTTTTTTACTTAAAACAACCATAACTTCTGTAATGTTATTAGATAATGGATTGGGGATTTGAGTTTGGAGTACCACCTTTCAGATGATACCATTAGATTTTAAATATTTAAAAAATTCTCAACAGGAGAGGTGCAGCAAGTTAAAACTGCACTGGTTGCACATTGTATGTCAGATGGCAAAATACAACATGACAGCTGGTCATACAGTGTACATCGCACAGATATGAAGGGTTAATAAGATAAGGCAAAGCTCTCCAATAACTAACCATCATAAAAAGTATTGAAAGCATTAATCCCTTCCTATTGACACATGAAAGGTTGTGACCACCATGATTTTCCAAAAACTTACTTATAGTATTCAGCTGATGGATGCTGCTGGTTTTCATGACAAGCTGTGTTGCAGATCCATCAGTAATGGCATCAGCAGCAGCTGCTGCACTTGACAAATGTTGTTGCTGCATGGATGGTAGACCACCTGGAAGACAGTGGATATTGGATTCAGATGTCAAGCAATACTTAATATCAATATTCTTTGCATAAATTAAATAAATTAAATCATTACATGCAAATATTAAGATATTGGAGAAAGATAAGATGATCCATGAGAGTAAATTTTGTCACTAAGCATTTCCTTTATCAAAGAGGATTCTGATTTTTTAAAGAAACAAACAAAATTTTTTGCAAAAAGTCCCACATCATAGGATGCTACCTCTCAAATACAATAATATATCTTCAGGCAAATACAGGGATCCATGTTCCTTCTGATTGCCTAAAAAGGTGCTCAATTTAGACACAATAAGCTGAATGCATCCAGATAATGGCTAAGTTGCAAGCAACTTATGAGTAAATTGATATTAATGGGGTTAGTGGTAAATGCCAATGGTACATATTTCATAGTTACTTGAGCAAATATATTTATTTAAACCTGGCTTGACTCAGGGTCACAATCATAATCCACATTGAACAATGAAGACTATCATACCAGTTTTAAGCAGGTGTCCTGGCATCCTCTCTGGCAATCATATGGTTGATTGGCTACAGATCAATATGCTAAGTACAGCTACCTGTTTCAGAAATAAAATAAAATCATTCAAGCTTGATCTATCTCGGCTCACTTTCTTAGCAAATCAACAGTGGAACAGCATCTAGTTGCTGTTAGTCAGACCCTCTGGAAGTGTATCAGCAAATTGTGAATATTTCAGACACTGTTGGACTCCAATACAAGATGATACTGCACGTTTTAAAAAAAATCATATGCTACCCTAATTGTCTCTCTTTTTCATGCAAAAATCACCACAGAACTCCAGAACATAGGCCTTAAGCCAATGAATATGGTAGCTATCACTTAGGATTGGTTACTGGGCATTAGTTGGCAATGATTATCTATATGGCATTAGTTCCCTTTAGATGCATTCCACTGCCTTCAACCTCAAAGAATTTATTTAAAAAACACTCTTTTGAATGTATTGCTGAAAATTCCAACTATAGTTATCAGTTGTTCTAGCTTGGAACATAACAAATTTGTTTTCTCCAGGAAAAAAAAAGCATTGCTATGCCATATGATGCCTAACTTCTACACAAGAATGATAAAATCAGTAGTAACACATTACTATTACTTAAGTATAGAGCCATATCAATCCTGACTGAAGTCAGGCCAGTATAAATTCAGTATACATCCAAGGGGTTGGGTATATCCTGGCCTGCCTTGAATTCTGATACTTCCAAGGCTGAATTCCTCCTCCCCCCCCCCCCCCCCCCTCCCACTCCCACCCAGCTAGCCTCTTCCAGGGTCAACTCCTTGCTCATGTAACACTTTCCTAACTGCTCCAGCTTTAGTTGAGATAAATAAAAAGAAGAAATGGAAAACAATGGTGTGGAAACAGGAATCACACCAGAAAGATCTTATATTTATGCCAAATTCTTAACCCATCAGAATACCAGCACTTACTTTCACTCTTAAAGGGAGAGGTATCATTGAATGTTAGCCAGTTTCAATGCAGATCAATGATGTCCATATTAATGTAACTAATCTCAACATTTCACTGCAATTTCTTAGATACCTAAAATGTTCATGCCATAAATTAAAATGTAATTACTAGGGTGGCACTATCCAGAATTTCCCAACCATGGGGTAACAATGAATGGTACTTTCCCTTCAGTTCATTACTGACCCTATACATTCATTAGTGGAGTAATATGAGCTTTGATAATAATTTGTTACTCAAACGAAAGCTAGAAGATTGATTGCTCAGTATTATTATCAATTAAGTTAATGCACCTTTACAAAGAATAAATGAACAGTCAAAAAGCAGCCATTAGGATCATCCACCCATCTTTCCTCACTCTTTCTGACAGTTAGGCTCTTTCAAGAGTCTTCACATCTTGCAAGTCAAATCAAAGAAGAGGGCTGTTCAATGTGGAATTCATCAATTGTAGCATATAATTTTGAGCAATTGAATAAAAAAAAAGATAAAAAAGGAAAGTTAAATTCATTAAAGAAGAATGAGGAACTCTCAGGTTTTTCTTGGAGTGGGATAATGGCAGTCAGCAGTAACACAGACAGCAGCAGCTGCATAGTGTTGGGGAGCATATGCCCCCCCCCCCCTCCCTCCCTTTTCAAGAAAAGAAGCCAAAAGAAAAGGAAAAGCCTAGAAATGCATAACAGTATCCCAGCGTTCCTTTGCCCCCCCCCCCACTTTTTCCATCCATGCTATGCTTATGGTTATCAGTAATTATATGAGAAAGTGATTATCAGACTATAGCTTATTCAAGCAGCAGATATACTCATCTGCCTTGAATGTAGAATGCCTTGAATGTGAGAATGTAGCCAAAAGAGAATCCTATTAATTGAAGAGCATTTTCTAGATATGTCTGAAGTGTTCAAACTCAGTGTTCAGCACAATGTACCTTTACTTATCCTATTACTATACTCGGCCTACCTAAAATTGAAACTGGGCAAAGGGCGATAGGCCTTAGATCTAGGTATGATCCTTTTCAAATAGCCCTATGAACGAGGTCTTCCTAAAACGTTCCAAGGGTTAAAAGAGCCCTCATGCAATGATGTTCCGTTGCATTCGCACTCATAGGTGAAGGCGATTGCACACGCCAAAGTCAGCCTAGACCTGGAGTCTACATGGGGGAGACCTGATAAAACATGAGCCTAATAACTCAGTCAGGCATGCCTTCGTGTCGTACAGAGCCACAGGGTGTAGAAAGAAAGAAAGATGAAAGAACGAAGAGCGCCCTCTGGATTGCAGCAGCCATTTCACAGCCCTCCCATCCTTCTTGGGCCTGCGGTCCCACATCCAAGCCGTCCCTCCATCGCCATTCTCTATTTCCAGTACTCAGATGGGATAAAGAAGGATCTGATCACACGGGGAGGATCAGATGTCCGCGGGAACGATATGGACCACATGAATTGGGGTCGTTTACTGAACCGAAGCAATATATATGCGAATACGACATGGCCTACAAGTATGGAAAGCTCCAGGGTAATATTGAGCCTATATACACCTCTACTTCCACGCCACTCACATGATGACGTATTAAGCATAACACGTCATCGCAGCCAATGGTGGACGGCGTCGACCGAAAACTGAAAGTTCCAAATGGGGCCTTCCACGTAGGTGGCAGGCTCCACCATGCTATGCGACATGGCAAAATATCTAGAAAATCCGTACGAGTGGAGCGCGCTCGTGACTGTGCACTCCCTGTTAGATCTCGGTGAAGCGGAGGAAACCGCGCAAGAAAGCATTTTCATTTCGGCAAACCTACTATTTCTCCGCGTAGAAGGGTTTGGCTGCGGTGACGTCAGCGATGACAATCTTCGGGGAATCGATTCGCGGCTTTTTAAAGTCGCGGAGAGCAAGTTAATGCTGATCCTCGGATCGTAAATAATGCAAATAATCTATGATCGATGGTTACGGGGCCTGGCAGAGAAATGAGCCGTGAATCTTCAAAGACGAGATCGCGTCCGGAAAGAAAACTGGGGAGGAAAAAATTAGAGCGATTTTCTGCGTTCGTTCTATGTGCGACGAATTCTCGGAGAAGGACCGACGAGACGCGCAAAATGACTCAGACGATTCCGAGAAATACTCCGAGGATCGCAAATTACTTTTAATTAATTATGATTACCGCAATAATTACCGATCCAAACTCATACTTGACAGCACGCTGATAAGCGAGGAAAATCGAAGTTCCAATAAAAAGCATAATTATTTGATCGTCGACAAAAATAATATTCCCATCCGTTTGGAAGTGAACGGCCGAAGGAACGCACACTTGGCACTTTCACGCACGCACTAACGCTTTCACGCACGCTTAACGCTTTCGTCTCCAAAGCATCTTTTTTACTTANATGTTACACAAAATTCTTGGCACACCTTGGGAGTGTTTTGAATCTCTTCGCATATCACGGAAGGAATCATGTAAGTCCTCTATAAAGAACTGTCTGTTTAAGGCTTTAGTCAGTATTATTCCTGGGAAAGGACATTGTTTAAAACTACGACTTGGCTCAGTCAGGTGGCCATGGACCGACAAGATTCAGTATCGATTGAATAATTTAATTACAGAAGCGGTCAGTCAGGATGTATTTGTTGGTAATTCAATGAGGTCGCACTGGACTCATACTCTTTCCGAAAAGAAATTCCTTGCACTCTCCGAACGTCCGGAGTGGATGGAGGTCTTTCCTCGTTCATTGCTCAAAATTCCATGTCGCCATCACGGCGAATTTTATACTGTTGGAAAGCTCTCTCTCTCTCTCTCTCTCTCTCTCTTTGTTTCCCTTGATTAAACGCACATTACACAAGGATTCATATTGGAGCCTCGACAGAGCGATCAAGAGAAAGTGGAAAGGTGCGTCCTGGCCGCTGCGAATCCACTGTTGTTTTTATTTGGAATGGCTTTCTATTTCAATACATATTTGTATCAATCGGTATTTATGAATGTAATCTGCAGTGAGTGCCAGCATCAGTATATTGATATGCATGCCTTCAATAGCGTAGGCAGGAAATCGGCAAAGGGGGGGGTGGTGAGGCCAGGTAGACACCCGAACCCTACGCCTTGCTCCACTACTCAGAATTTACCTTTTCAAAGAAATCATGGTCTTGCATCTTGGGTCTGTGGACAGACATCAGACTTTCCTCGGTGGGGCATAGCTAAAATTGGAATTCCCAAGAAAGGATTAAATATGCCAGTCAGTGTCACTGGCCGGGAAGACCAAGGGGGGGGGGGGGTTTCTAACCCCATTAAACCTACCCCCTTCCCTACGCCACTGCATGCCTTGGTGCATTTTAGTATGTTAATCAAGTTAAGAAAAAGGTGCTGAGAACAAAATCCGGTCCGCCATGCCACTTTATAGTAATTGCTTCATTCCACCACCGAGGAAAGTCTGATGTCTGTCCACAGACCCAAGATGCAAGACCATGATTTCTTTGAAAAGGTAAATTCTGAGTAGTGGAGCAAGGCGTAGGGTTCGGGTGTCTACCTGGCCTCACCACCCCCCCCTTTGCCGATTTCCTGCCTACGCTATTGAAGGCATGCATATCAATATACTGATGCTGGCACTCACTGCAGATTACATTCATAAATACCGATTGATACAAATATGTATTGAAATAGAAAGCCATTCCAAATAAAAACAACAGTGGATTCGCAGCGGCCAGGACGCACCTTTCCACTTTCTCTTGATCGCTCTGTCGAGGCTCCAATATGAATCCTTGTGTAATGTGCGTTTAATCAAGGGAAACAAAGAGAGAGAGAGAGAGAGAGAGAGAGAGCTTTCCAACAGTATAAAATTCGCCGTGATGGCGACATGGAATTTTGAGCAATGAACGAGGAAAGACCTCCATCCACTCCGGACGTTCGGAGAGTGCAAGGAATTTCTTTTCGGAAAGAGTATGAGTCCAGTGCGACCTCATTGAATTACCAACAAATACATCCTGACTGACCGCTTCTGTAATTAAATTATTCAATCGATACTGAATCTTGTCGGTCCATGGCCACCTGACTGAGCCAAGTCGTAGTTTTAAACAATGTCCTTTCCCAGGAATAATACTGACTAAAGCCTTAAACAGACAGTTCTTTATAGAGGACTTACATGATTCCTTCCGTGATATGCGAAGAGATTCAAAACACTCCCAAGGTGTGCCAAGAATTTTGTGTAACATTTGGTGTAACAATGAAGGAACCTCAGCGGAAAACAAAGCTGAACTGAAAATAAGCCTCCTTCAAATGGAGGGAACCCAATTGTTACTTGCTCCCTTGTGGTCAAAATGGAAAAAAGCAAGAAAATCAAGACACTGCTTTTTGGTTCATTCCTATACTCAAGATGCATTAAAAATCACATTGATTTAGGATTTGGAGCTTCTCTTCCCAAATGGCTATTTCATACCTCTGAATTTCTCACTAAGAAGCACTTGAGAATTTATAATGCATCAGGAATGAAAGGTGAAGCAGTGAAGGTTTGTCTTTCTACTTCAGTTTTTACCTTCCAACTTTCTAAACATCTTCAAAACTAATCCAATGAGAAAGGATTTTTGGAAAAAATTCTCATTCATGACCCCTATGTAGCAGCAGGCACTTTTTTAAATCTAAGTTTGAAGAAGATAACTCATGAAATGAGCGAATTTTCAGAAGGGTTAGATGCAAATTATTTCAAGGAATCTAAGAATGTGACTCATGTGAATGGAATAACTTTCTCAAGGCAAGTTTTCTTATATGATTGCTTTTGAACAAAGCAAATTTATTGTAAAATAGGACAGGATGAACAGAGAATACATGAGATGTTGGTTCAAAATGGGAGTTCGAGAGTCGTTTCTGCACGTCGTCTCTCTGCAATCTCTGACAGCAGCGTCTTCCCTTCCACTTTTGTCTATGGAAAATGGAAAAAAAATAGTGTCCTGTAGAGAGAACATCCCAAAAAAAGATGACCAGAGCAAAGTTCAGAGTGAGCACTGCTTGAACATCATGGGAAGCTCATAAAATTTGAACTTGTTGCATTAGAAATGAGACAAGAGAAATGGATGCAAACTTGACAACATTAATTCCATTGGTATTGGTAAAAGTTTTGATGCATAAGATTTGTATGTGGAAATTTTTGGGGCACTTTAAACAATAAATTTGAAGATAGCAAATATGTTCATGTTAAGAAGCAACTCTAAGTATTATACTCTAAAGGTGCTTCAAAACTTTCAGCCAATGATGTCTTGCAGGCTTCCTCTATATGAATGAAGAATTTAAGACTTTTAAAAGAACAATTTAACACAAAGGAAGCATGTGACATCATTGTCCAAATGCTATGAACTGGCTGTACAAGTGAGAATTAAAATTTGAAAAAGTAACTTGCAATTTTCAACAGCTTAATATTCTTGCTATATGGTCAACAGCATTCTTGTTCATAGCTAATGTTGATTGTTGCCTATTCAATTCTTGAAGTGTCAAGTTTCATGCCATGTTCTGCAATAGAGCAATTAATTTCATTCCATTACTCTCAAATGACATCAATCCATATGCAAAGATCTCAATTGAAGGAAATAGAGAGACTGCATTTTACCTCACTATTTTCTCTTACAACAATGTTCATAATCCTGATTTCAAAGAGAGACAATCATTATCTTACATTAAGATTTTAAAACATTTGTCATTTCTGAGATGAGTGTTGGGACAGAAAAATGAGAACCTTGTAGAATTTTTAATACAACTCATATCATTGAAGGCAGACACATACAAGAGGGAAGTTGGAGGCAAGCTGGGCATGGTGCATTGCAAGGTCCAGGCCACCTTTTTCAAGGAAGTGTTGGGCAAGGAAACGGTGGATGAACCCTCCCTCCTCATTCAGCTCAGCCCCCTCTCCCAGGCTGGCCAGGTACTGTTGATACACCTTTGCTGCCAACTCAGTCTCCTTCAGCTGCTCATGGATTCTATGACAAAGTCCATCCTTCCATTCACATATGCTCCTAGGATGCTTATCTGCTTATCCATTTCATCTTCAAAATGCATCTAAGCCTATTGATTGTGCATTCCTAGCTGACACATTCCCCATATATTATTGAGGGGAAAGTTTGGCAAATAAAAGGGTCATTTCATAGTCTACAGTTTCTTCTTCATGCAAAGTTCCACTTGATTTCTGACTCACTCATTTCAAGCATATTACTTCATTGGAGATAAATGGAAAGTGGGGATTTAGGACAGGAAAAGTATGAATGCCTGAAACTTCAGCATAAGAAAATGAAAATGGTAGCATGTGCAGATACCAAATGCTTCTCATTTCAGCTTTCCTCTTTGAAGCACCAATTTCATGCTCAATCTTTCACTTCAATTGACATTTATCATCAATCTCTCCACTATGTATTTGATGACTTGAAAGAAGCCTTCAGAAGATGAATGATGACATGATGCAAATGGAATATCTTCCCATTAATGGCTTTCTGTGAGAGTCAGTAATGGTGCCAAGGATTAAATTCCCCAAAAGAACCATTTTTCTGCCACAGAACTTTCTGTTGAAAAATGGACTTGTAGGAGAAGCTCATATGTGAAACTGAGAGACTGATTCTTTGAACCACAAAGGAAGTGGTTGTCTTTGTACATCCCAGACAAATGAGATCATTCATGTCCCTGAAACACATTAATAAGGAAAAAAGCATGCTTGTAAAACTGATGGTATTGGCTCATGAGTGTGATCCTCTTATGGGGGACTGCCTGTCATAAGCTAATGGGAACATTTGCACTCAGGAAAGAGCTAGCGGTAAGCAAGGGTGGTGGCATACTGATGGTTGACTGCATTGGGCTGGTGCTAGAAACTTTGGTTCCCTTGGTGGTACACCCAATGGTGCTCCCAAACCCTCTCCTACACTTGTATGAGATCTGACTCAGTATTAGGCAGAGGACATAAACTAGAACAAATTGGTACCAAATTATTTTCCCTCCAAGCCTCTACCAACTGATCTTATCTGAATTATTGAAAACTGGAAAAGGAGAAGGGAGTGGAGAGGGACTTTTCCACCACTGACCTCCTTCCCATCCAATTGAAATGACTCCAACTTGCTTGTTTGAAATAAGGAATAAGAGTTTTTAATCCAACTTATATCTGGTACATGGAAAATTAATTTTAAATATATTTAGGATCAGCTCATAATAACCTATGTAAGCATGGTGCCATAGGCAACCATCAAGCTGTTTACATCCAGTGCCATCCCTGTTGAGGTTTATCTATTCTCTCCCTTGCATTAAGTACAGTGGCATTTATTTTCTTATTCCATTTAAGAACTCTTTTGGGCACACAGAAAAATTTGCATGGAAAATATCAGTCTCAGAACTTGTCTCTGGTTCCAGTCAGTTTTATATAATCCTGAGGAGAAATATAGGCAGGGGAGCACTGGTATATCTAGGTGTGAATAAAGAAAGGTTCTGATGTAAATGCCAAGGAACTATTTTTTTCTGGAGTCTTGAAGTTTTGTCAGTCCAATTTATCCTTGTGAGTTTCATTTTATCTTATAGGAAATTTTATATATTTTATTAAATTATAATTAAATATATTTTATTTTATAGGAAATTTTAGTTTTTGCATGCAAAGCTTTCATAAGGATGTGAGACCATAGATTCACTGTTGAAACAACACATGTAACTTGCCTTCCCATATAGTGATGTTCCAACAATGGCTCCTATAGCAAAATTGTTTTTTTTTTTTTGTGTCCTTAATAGTGGATGCTATTTTGTTGTATGGATTCTTATTTGCTGTTGGGTGATTCAAATGGCTCTGCAACCATCCTGTGCACAATGCTTCCAATATCATTATCTGCACTTTCCATGACAGTCAGTACGGTCAGCTGACTGTAAACCCCTCAACTTTTGGCTAGGAAAAATACTTAAGGAGAGTGGGACAGCCTACAACTTGTGATAAAACTCAAATATGCAATTGAGAAAGAAAATTGAGAAAGATGCAAATGACATATGGATAAACCTGAACTTTTGATGCTGAGAATTGGCAGTTTTGCAGACACACTGGAGGTAGCTATTGAAAATGATGGAAGGCATGCTGAGCTATTTACGGGAAAATGAAAACTTCATCAACAGCATTAGAGATTTCCCTTCTTCCTTGTCCTTTTCCAATTGACATAAGTTCATTCATGAATTATGAGGGATAATATGTCTGCAGGACACAACATTTGTCACTAATATGCAAAATGCTTCCAGGACAAACCTTTCATGAAATGAGACGATATTCATGAGGTTAGACTGGACTGTCCCTATAAATCCGATATATTTTATGACTCAAGGGTAAATATTTACTGAGTTCATCAGTATTCTTTATACTTACCCTGTAGATGACAATTATAATATTGAAATAATTTTACTGAGATAAAATCTAGGGGGGAATTCAGAGAGGCATGAACATTACTAGGAAAAAAGAGCACTTACTTGGCAAGTCTGAACAGTGCCATGCCCTCAGCATCACCTACACGGTGGGCACGAGCATAATACACCTTGGCATATTGTAACTTATTGAGCTTCTCATAGCATTCACCAAGAGCCATAAGCATGCGGGCATCCTGTGGGCGCAACCACTGTGCCTGCTTGAAGTAATACAGTGCATACAAGTACATCTTGAGCAGCTCATATGTCTGGCCCAGCCCATACCATGCTCGGAAGTCCCGTGGGTTCACCGCTAGGGAAAATCGTTTTGATTATTTGTTTCCAAGTATTCCTTAATGGATGATAACTAGTTGCCACACAAAAGCAACATGTACTCGTGTGTTTCATGCTTTCAAAAGCAAAAAGACCTATATATATTATATGTCAATAACTATATCAACACCACATGCAAGCATACAAATTATTTCAAATTATGAAGTGAAATTTGCATAGGAAGGAAAAATGACAGGAAAAATCATACCAGAAGGTAAGGCAATACAGAGAGAGGATCTAGGAGACTTTCTGATGGATGATTGGAGTGCAAGGGAACAAAATGCATCGCTAGTACTGCTAAGAGATGCTGGGCTGTGCATGACTGGCACAGGAGAGGGGCTTAGAATGCTATGTACAACTAGGCACACACCAATGAGACATTTTTCATGGAAATTGCATGCAAATATTAAAATAGAATACCACATACTGGTGAAACAGCAATTATGTCTGCAGTATGTCAGAGGAATGTCTCTGGTAAGGCAGCATGCACAGTATTTGTCAGGCATATCCATGCAATTCTTATGTGCATGGCATGTGGCATGGCAAGAGTATGACTCAATGATCTTCAGGATTATGAAAAGCAAAATCCACAGGCCACAATTGTACAGTTTAGCCAAAACATTGATTCTGATATTATTCTATTTTCTGCAAAATAAATGCACAAAAAGGGGAGGTCTTACAGACAGCCTGACGATAGCACTGGATGGCAGCATTAGAGTTCTTCATCTCAAGATATTCATGACCCATGAGTGTCCATGCAGATAGGTAATTTGGGTTCAGCTTTAAAGCACGCTGGAAGTACAGCACAGCCTTCTCGTGCTCTGCTCTCAAGCTGTAGTAGTTCCCTGCCAACAATGCATAAATGGACAATCGATAGTGGCAGAAGCTGTGCAGGGCAGGTTATGGGGTACCATTGCAAGTTTTAAAATAATCAATATGTATAGTTAATTCAGCAAAACTTTTGGAACATCAAATAGCACTGAAATAGAATTAAATTGCATAGCATAACAGTAAATTATCAACTGAGAATGGAAATAAATACAGGGTGTTTCTGTAAAAAGCCCAGATTGGTTTTTTGAATAACATTTTTTGTACTGCACTGTTTTAGCTTGTTAAGATCTCATCAAGTCATAAGAGCACTCGAGCCTGCTGGCTTGGTTCACTCTGTCAGCTGTATGAATTTTCAGCCCAAGAGAATACTGCCTGCTGCCACTCAAACTTGAACCTGGACCACCCATGTGCTAGATCAAGATACTATACCTTGAGTCACAGTGACATGGTAGATAGGATAGAAACCAGATACTAGAACTAGATAGACTAAGAAGCCATACCAATGATGACCTGGGTTTCAGTGCGGTACTTGTCTATGCGGACAGCCTGGTGGGCAAGGAGGGCAAGTTCAGGACGCATTTCTTTCACATAAAGGAGGTTAGAATATGTCTCCAGGTTCTCCAGTCTCCAAGGGTCTCTTTCCCGCAGGCACTGGAACCCCTCTATCGCTCCCTCCATCACTGCATAATGATCATTCCACAACATACCATGCAATTAACATGTTTACTTCATTGAGTTGCCTCATTATGATGAAAGTTTAAATATGATGTTGTCACAAATCTGAGATAGTGTTAAAGCTGATTGTTCATGAACAGAGTGCTCCCAAGACCAGCTATGGTGTTACTCCAGCATCAAAATTAAAAATTAACTTGGGAAATGTTTACACTCCTTTTCTTTATTTTGACTTCCTAAATCTGCCCTCAGCTTGTGACATGAATTTCTTCTGAGTCTCTTTCCTTGATACATTAACTTTTGTGAAAGGGGATAAGCCAGGGCATGAGGCTCATGGGAGAGAATGAGAAGAGGCAAAGTACATACATCGCATGTTGTAGTGTGATAAAGCCACCTGGGCAATGAGATAGGAGGAGTCCTTGAGGGCCCCATCCCACAGTGTCTCCTTTAGTTGACTCAAAAGCTCCAAGGCATCTCTATTCAACTGCAGCTCCAGAAGAACATGTGCATGGAAGAAATCTCGCACCCAATGTTCAGGCAGCTCCAAGCCTTGCAACTGCACCCAGAGCAAGCCATACATGTAGCAGAAGAAAAAGTCAAGAGTCAAGCAAAGTGCACCAAGTCTTACCAAAAATCTTGTGGTGAGCCTTCTTTCAATGGAGCTTTGGATAAGGCTAGCTTATTAATGCATATATATATTACATTATATTTGGATTTAACAGGAAAGTAAAAGCTCCCATTTGAGAGACACTGCTGCAACTAAAAAGGAGTAATTTCTCAGAATTGCCAATTGAAATCATTGGGCTGCAATTCAAATTTGGTGATCTGAACAGTTTCAGACTTTTATCCATCACTTTCTTGCATATCAACCTGTTATCTCTTGCTATGGTATGAAGAAGTGGAGCTAAGGCTGCCTTCTTTGGAATTGGATGATTGACTGGATGTGAAGAAAGAGAAAGGTATTTCTATATTGTGAAAATATGAAAAGTTAAAGGAAAAAAAAAACAGCATGTCACAGTGAATTTAACCCTTTCACTGTTATACAAAAAAAAATCTGTCATCTCCCTGTGTTATAAAAAGTGGCACTGCTTATCCAAAAACAATAGTTCATGTAAGAAAATGTCATATCATGATAACTATTGAATATAGTGGTTACATACATAAATAGCAGTGAAATAACCAAGTCACAGTGAATGGTCTGAGCCCAAGAACATACTTGGGCTACCACTACACAAGCCTGAATATGTACTCAGGCAAACAGCCAAAGGGTTAATAGTGATTTGATTCTGCAAAAAGACAGCCTCAAACTAAGAATAGATTTGTAGATTTTCAGAAATACAGTTTCCTAACATGGGTCTCAACATGGTTATATGTCTAGTTATTAAAATGATTGTTAACGTACAGTGGATCGGTCATTGACAAGGGAAGCAAGTTCCATCCAGGCTCCCCAGTGTAATGGCTGGGCCTTCACTGCTTTCTGCAGATTCACCACAGCCATGAGATTCAGGTCTAGTTTCTTCAACACTATCCCATACACATAATGCAGGAACCCCTGCTCTTCCTCCTCCTTTTCCTCTTCCCCTTTGGTTCCCTTCAGCCGCTCCCCCAGCTCCACCTCCAGTTCTTGAAGCTCTGACAAAGGCAGTTTAGTCCGTGCATCTGTCAAGAGCAAAAACAATAAAATTGACTGCATCAACCCTTAGGGCAGACAGTTCATGGCCCCTGTGAAGCAAAAGAGAGGAGAATTAGAGGTTTGCATTCCAACTGAAGCTGGCCTAGTCCTTCCCATGACCAAGAAGTGTCAAGAATAGGTAATGAATGTTGGAAAAAAATTTTTTAAAGGACCAACCTATGGGGTCAGTCATGCCGTCCAGTCGTCGCTTCTCTGCTGCAAGGTATTTGGAGTAGTAATACAGGAACTCATTCTTCCCAGGACGACTCTCTTTCAGGATAAATGCCGCCCTTCCATGAGAATACCAAGCTCATTATTATACTAAATGACATCAACTATATACAACGTGTCATATAAGAAGAAGACAATGAGATTATTCAAGGTACAAAATGCGGAATTAAAGAGAGTTACAAGTGGTAATCTTGTGACAAACTGAGAATGAGTGGGTATGAGAACTTCGAGGCAGCTGGGAATGGGGACTTGACATGAGACAAGTCAAAGGGAGAGTAGGATGGAAAAGGACCAGGGTTGGGTTGAATGAGACACCAGTTTCATGACATGCCAGCATTACTGTAAGTTACATTTTTTAATATCTCCTTTGAATGGCTAATAAAAGCTCTCCTTTTGTAGCAACTGCATTGACTATTATGGATACCAGGAATATGTTCTTTCAATCTAAAATGGGATGGAAAAAATGGACAATGCAAACTTGAATGAACATGAAGAGATGGACATTGTGACCAGAAATGAAGAGGCAAAATAAGGAAAAAGTGAAATGTTGCTCTCAAGGAGAGGGAGAGATGCAGATTTCAAGAAAGTCCTGATATGGAAATGTGACAGAGACAGAGACACACCTGTCATATTCCTGAAGGTCAAGGTATGTTCTGGCCAGGAGGTAGGCTGGGAGATCTGGGTCACATTGGGTTGTCAAGGATGGGCATTGAGAAATGGTCAACTCCTTATCCTTCAGGCAGTGCAACAGTTCTCCAGCCCTACAGAATCAGACTCAAAAAGTCAAACAAGGAAAAAGGAAAATTTAAAGGGTAAAGGGTACAACAAAGACAGAAAAATAGAAGAAAGAGCAAGCATGAAGGGACACATACAAGATGACTAGCATGTTGCGAGGCTATTTCACTGAATTTGACTTTTGAAACTTCCCCCCACATCTGCATGCTTCACCATGTCTTATTAAGTCAGACATTCTTTCACTTGACTGACACAGACACTTGACTTAAGTTGGTTCAGTTTGGTCTGCAGGAGCCAAAGGCATAAGCAACTTCTCCCCTCCCTATCCCATTTTGAGTGTGATTGACTCTCAGAATTCTATTTATCAATTGTCCTTGAAGTATCAGGAAGGTTGGTTGAAAAAACATTTTGCTGCATCCATATATTTTGCATTGATAGGGTCTCCAGTATCCATCTGTTCCAGTTGCATGATTTACTCATCTGCACCAGTTGTTGGTAAAGGCTGAGTTGCCTATTTCATGTATCAGCTCATACTTACTCTTTTAAAATCATCCTGCTCAATTATAAAAAGGATAAGTCTGCTTAGCTTTGTTCAACATCACATTTAGGTTCAAGAGTAAAAATTAAAAGGATGATGAGACCATTGGGCAGAACGGATGAGGCCACGTTGGGAACAAAGGAAGTAGGAAGTGAGGAGATCCTGCTTCAACTGGGAAAGAGACACATATGCACTTCCCAGGATCATCTCCCTGGACATCTGAACTGATACCTTAACCTGTAAAGAGCATTGTACAAGTAGCACTCACAACTCCAGATAAGATCCAGGAAGGTCAGAGAATGACTTTCACTAGATATATCTAGCATACAAAGGTGAAACCAGCACTTACACCAACTGAGGATTCATCCTAGCCCTCTCACATGTAAATTTCCATTATTTTTCAAGTTCTTGCATACAAAGGCAGTTTTATAAATTAAAAAAATTTGTACAATATAAGATTCCATTACAAAATTGGAAAAAGTGCTCAATAACAACACACTGCTAGTACAAAATTCTCAAATTTTCTGCCAGATGGTAGCTGGAATACCCTGCTGGAAAAAACCTTATGACAAAGGTCTTGTGAGACCTGATATGAGGCTGTCCTCATGAGGTCTAATGCCATTTACTTCAGGAGGCTTGTGTGCCAGGGAAGGTCTCTAGGGACTCAAGCTGCCAGGTCACTCTTGTCCTTCAAAGTGATACAGAAAGCACACTGAGGCACAGAACAGTAATTTATTTAATTCTCACTCAGTCACTCCATCCTGCCTGCCAGATTTGTCTGGAGTCTCCATGAACTGAGTTAACTCTTCTGAAAATTTTCTCCATGAGTTCCAATATATTTATTATCATTCCCTGCAGAAATGTATACTGTATAGGAAGTACAAGGGAAATGCTCCAATGGGATCAGGGGCAGACTTGTCACAGTGGCTATCTAAGCACAATCTTGTGTCAGTTTTTATCTCATGGGGCATCTAGGGTTCTTAGTAAACATCCATAGGACATAACAGAGAATCATTCCAAAGAGATCTGCAGGACAGGACACTGAGATATCCTTAGAATTCATATAATTACATATGTCTCTCAGAATGTTGCTGAATACCTCCAGGGGATACATCCCATGGACATGATTTCTCCACTAGGGATGTCTGTAGGACTTCCTGAGAATCTACTGATGCTGGTGGAATAGCAACTAAGGCAATTCCAAAGAACATCCTGCATTGGACACTCTGAAGACTTCCTCAGGATGTTCCACATGATAAGAACTCACAATCCAGTCTCATGACATTATCATGAGGGATCTAATAGATCTTATGAGTGTATAATGAGATTTTTTCAACAGCATATGACATGCAGCTTCTGGGTAATATGTACAGGTAGAGTTTTGCAAGATCACTAGTGGCATGGTGGGAAAAGATTATTTTTGTAATATGTCTTCCAGTGTGGACTCTGTCCATGAAAGGGTTGAGGGACCAGAGAACAATAATTTTCACCATGTGTATTGACAGAACCTGTATTTCAACAAAAGTTGACAAATCTAGGGCCCAAGCCATGATCACTTCCCTCACACAAAAAACTCAGTTTTAAGTTTCAGTTTGTTTTAGGTTCTATTTTAGGAGAATCTTCCTTGTGGTAGTGAATCAATCTTTGCAAAAGGAATTTTCTGATTCAAATAGCAGTCAAGAGACACCCATGATATATTTAAAGTCTGCACAATGGTCCCTCTAGAAACAGCAGCCCCCTTTCATAGAGAAGTTAAAAAAAAAAGTTCCAAATACATATTAAGTGTCAAACCATGTCATCTGCAGAGGAACAAGTGACTCAAACTTGTTCAAATTAAAAATTAACAGCAAATTAAATTAAATTAAATGCAATAAGTCCACTATGTTCCCATACCCAGCATGGGAAATAATCTAGTGTGTCTAAAATTTGCCATCCATCAGAGAAGCTGCAAGCACAGTCTTCTCACAGAAAGGATGTGGAAATATCTCTTCTCTGATAAACATTAAAGTTGGCAGAAAAAATGCAAAATATTATTCATTTTAATATTTTGTTTTTGGACTATGAATGGATGCTTTCCTAGGCAAAATGATCAATATATCAGAAGGATATAAAAATGAGCCACTAAACCTGAAAATTACCATCATATAGAACTCCTGGATTGATGAATTTAAGTAATGCAGGAGTTCTATATGATGGAACTCCTGGATTGATGAATTTAAGTAATGCAGAGGCAGTATAAATGAAAGCTATAATTCAGAGTAGTGGGAACTTGGATTCCTCATGACTGCATTATTTACCTTAACATTTTCTAATATTTTCAGCCATTTTATGAGAAAGTCACCAAAATTACTCAGCATTTCACCTATTGTTTCAAACCTTCAAACAAATACTTGAATTATGATGGTTCTAGTGACATGATTATATATCAAACTACGTAAAGGATGAAGATCCTAGAGCCAAACTCCTAAAGAGGAGATAGTCCAAGGACAATTTGGCAGATGCAACAATGAACTCCATAATGCTGCTGGGATGGAATCAAATCAGTAATTGACAGTAGTTGACTTCAGGAATATGATTTTATTGGGCATGAAGGTCTTTCATATTCACAGCGGACTCATCATCTTTCATTTAAAATAGACAAAGCAGCTTAAAAAAATAAACATGGAAGACCAATGTGGCAAGTTGGACAAGGCAATAAATACAAGATAAGTAAATAAAATGTAAAAATTGCTCCTTCTTGATACTTCTCTTTTTTTGATGATGCATTTCCATATCTAGAGTGTCACATATGGTCAAATACACTCTAACACACGTAGAATATGATAATATATTACATTTTCTAATGGGATACAAGGTACAGAGGATGGTAAAATGAAAAAAATTGTTCAAATACATGAAAACCAAAGGCATGAATCAAAATTCAGCCCAATCTCTTGTTAAACATGGCCAATTATACAGTAAAGAGCATGGAAGTTCAACTGGCTTCCATCTTTGTCTTCCAGAATGTTTCCATGAATCCATTAAGGTCTGTCCAAAAAAAATATGTATCATACATCCATGCCAGATACTTCCTAGATGGATTAGAGAATCTACATTTATTATTTGTTTTTCCACAAATCACATCTCCCATAATTAGTACTTATTTTACTCTGTCCCCTTTATCTAATACTCAGAAAAATAAAGTTTTCATAAGAAAATGGCAATCAATAATTACATCAATGCCATTGACAAGAACTTACCCATTCTTTTGGCACTGACTCTTCATGATTTTAAAATTAATGGGCATGGGTTACGTGTTCTTTAAGACTCTGTTTTCTCTTTATGCAGAAAACACACAAGTGACACATGCTCATGGAATGACCGCAATGATGTCTGAGTAGGGTCTACTTTACTCTGAATGCCTGCCCATGTGGAAATTCCATATATGACAGGGTGTATGATTCTATATGGCCATGTATGATCATATATTTGCCATATACCACTATATATGTAATCATATATTATCAATTGTATGGTATATAATATATATTATCTGAATTACAATATCAAAAGTTATGGGCTAATGGCATCATGTCTGACATGTGGTGAATATCCACAGGCAAGTCTTATAGTTGTTAGTGAACATAGCAAGAGGCCAGTGGGCCAGAGGGGGTAGGGCAGCCGAGGGGGGGGGGGGGGGGGGGGGGGCCCCCTAGGCCAGTGGGCCAGAGGGGGTAGGGCAGCCGAGGGGGGGGGGGGGAGTCCTCAAACCCCACACAAGTGATATTGGGGGAGAAAAATAATACCTCCAAGGGGACACCAAGCTCCATCCCAGGGGATGCCAGGGGGGGAGGAGGGTGGCAGGTGCACTCCCTGCCACCACTACATGAGCTTTTTACATGAAGGCCATGACCTTTTGATGCCTCTGCAAGTAATATTTTATTTACATCAATGTATTCAGTAGTGCCCCTCCATCCCCCTCCTGCCTCCCTCCACTGGTTCCATTTCATCAGAAACTGACTGATATTTCAAACAAGTTGGCATGAGAAAGGAAAAACAAATATATGGATTATGTACCCTTCTAGGATGTGGGTATTTGTCAGGTATTCTCACCATACATAGACATGTTTAACTTCATATATGGACAAGATGTGACATGGCATATATGGTGCAATTGTATGATGCCAATATATGAAAATACATGGGGCCATATATTTTCATCCTTACATGATTCTATGTGACTTCTGTCAAACCCCATATATGTTAGACTGGCTAAATATATATGACCATTGCATATATGGTCTAATATGAAATTTTTCACTTGGGTGGTGACAAAGGGTATACTTGAAAGGTCTCTTATCTGAATGAAGTGATTAGATATGGTCCTTCAAAACATGTTTCTCCTTGAAATGGCACCCTCAATTACATCAGAAGGGCCTTACTTCTGAATGATACATTTGAATATGTTCTCTGTCTCTAGTCCACATCCACAAACATAATATACAACAGGTCTTATGTTGGAGTGAAAAATACCAAGCCCCCTTACCCATTCATCAGCATTTTGAACCTCATTTAAGGCAATTAGACATAAATTTTTACAACTTAAGTCACTATCACCTCCACCATCATTGCTGATACATTCAAATTCCACTTCAGAAGTTAAAAAATAAGAATTTGGATTGGGATTGAAAGTAAAAAAAGCACCTCTGACTGAGGCTAATGTATTCAAAAACAGAAAAATATTCATTCATTTTGTAAGTGGTAATGAATGAGTTGATCCAATCAAATAAAAAAATATAATAAAATCCTTGATCTACAGGAGTTCAGGGCGCTTTATAGGGTAAGAAGGCTTCTGGGTGTAAAGCAGTAGCTTTGGAGTGGTGCTCCTTGTGACACCCATGATATACATGTAAGGCCTAAACAAAAACTAAAATTATTTTGCCATTGTTTATCAGCTGAGTTTGTCATTTTTTCATTTCATCCCGACACCTTAAAGGCAGACTGCGGGTCTCCCAATCACCATCTCCATAAAATGATCTATGATGCTTAAACATGTCAGGCAAATGACAATCTTTTGGGCTCGTCTTGGGTCAACGAAATACGTCAGACCTACAGGTATAAAGGATGATAATTCAAGAATCTTAAGCAGCACTTACTTTTAAAGTGCTACAGTGCTTTAGCGATGAGTTCACACACCCTTTAAATTCATACCATTGTTTTCTATGGACTGGAGGGGAACAAACGTTTAATCCGGTCCTACGTCTGAGGTGAACTGGTACTCTGTAGACGTCCCTAAAGTCCAAATACCTGTAGCACCAGTGTCCTTATGGTGGTATGTGAACATATCACAATAGCACTGTAATAACTAATTGAACCTGGTTTAGGTTTTCCAGCTAATAACCTTGATTGAGCATCGCGGTTTATAGAGACGACTGCATCTCGCACGTCAATGGAGGTCGCCATCTTTGACAAATCCGCAAAGCGGATTGGATAGGAGCACCTTTTTAATGGCGCGAATTTCAGTCATAAGAAGATTATGCTTCATGATATGAAGATTATCCTGGATGTATGAAATAGAATCAAGTCGAACGCAGTAATTTCCACTCCGGCATCTATGGAAATAACACCAACCCAGTTAAATGGACCCTCGTTGGAGCCCACGACAAAATTGAATGCATTCAGTCGATTGGATTTCATCTGTCGGCCCTATATATGCAGCATTTCTGCAAGCACGTTATAAAGGTCCCTTGGCCCTCATTTCCTGCATCAGCGTATCTACATCCCTTCCTCTGGGAACACTAAAAATGTCAGTGCCGATCGTTTGGAAGAAATAGAACACCCCCTTTCCGGAAAAGATCCGCTTTAATTCAATGCGTTCAGTGTTCCTGGCAGTAGCGGATACAGGCGGGGGAGGGGCGGGGGGACTGTGCCCCCTATGCCCAGATTCACATTTCTTTTTCAGAATCTTTAAAAATTGAATGAATTCATTTTAGTTTAATAGTTATTTTCTTGCGCTTTTTATATATTAAAATAGGACTGAAATGAACCACCAAATGAAAATGAAAAAGGCGATAAGTAGTAGAATTGTGGTGGGGTTGGGGGAAACCCCCCACACCCCCTGCCCCTCTAGATAATTTTTATATGCACCACTGGTGCCTGGTTTCATCGAAAACAATGATATATAACTCCAAAGGGGGACGGAAGGAGGGGGAGGAGAAAGCGCTGCGATCGG